TCAAATAGAATCAATTCTGTGGCTTTGAGAGCCTTGGATTAGTTCGAAGCCCCTCAGAGTTTCCTTTATAAGCGGAACTCGACGCCGTGCAAAGATTATAGCTTTAGAGAGTGTTTTCGGTCTCAAGATTTATCACTCGGTCTGTGAGCCTCCAACTCTTTGTATATCGGGGCCGCGTTCTTATGTAGATTCTCCAGTGAATGATAGATGTTAACTACAGGTAATAATTATCCCCTCTAATAGGATGTAAGGGTGTGTGCTTTAGATGAGGGTTGAGAGAGCGCACAACGCTCTAAATTGAGCTAATTACACGGTGTGTAAAGTAAGCGTAAGTAGAGACTACTGACAACGAACAAATCAGTAAGGTGTTGGTACAGACCTCGGGGCCGGGTGTACTTGGAATTTTTGTGCTATATTTGGCGGAAGATAAGCATAGACAGAGGAACCTAATACCAAGGTTCTCATGTAGGATCTGCGTTTATTAAGGCCTGTACCTGTGTGTCATCCTCTGGCTTTTAAAGAATAGTGCCTCGAGGAGGAATTCAAGGGAGAGTGAATGCCGCTTGAGTGTCTATTGAATGCATTATTAACGCCGCGTCCCAAAAGTGAAGTTATTTTAATGTACTTTACCTAAAGTTCCATTGCTTTAGAATGTTTATCCTTGTGCTTGAAGTATTGAGATTTTCGTGTGAATATTAAATAAATGAAATCTTCTGCCTATTTATGAGATGTATTATAGTGATTAGAACACTACCCAAATAGTCGTGTGATTAATTTGAGAAGAAATATAAAAAGCAATGTAGAGAATTTTAAAAAATAAATAAGGACATATTTGGAAATAAAAATTGTTTAAGCATTCCTCCAAAACAGCCATATTAGTAGCTATAGAGAGAAAAAGATATTCCCGTTCTCCTTACACACTACTTCTCGTGTCCTAAACCGATGACACATGAGAACTCACACGTCTCCATGACAATGGTAATTTAGTTGCCGTTCTCACAGCCGTGCAGAAGGCTGAAGTGGAAGACTCCAGTAGGTAATAGACATAACGAGTCACTCAATGTTCTGACACCTCACAGTAGCGGTGAAATTATAGTTATAAAGCTGTTGGGTATGTTTAGGGAGTTGTAAAATTAGGGAGGTATAAAATGATCAATAGCCACCAATTCTCGGATTAATAGCGGAAAAATATATAATTTAAAAAAAAGTTATGAAATTCCGTCAGGTATACAGGGCGGAGGTAGGGACGTACGGAGGACGATTGACGGCTTTGAGGAGTCAACGGTGCTGCCTTAAGTCGGAGAGCGGTAGGGGGCCGGCGACTGCGCCACGGTCGTGTGGACGGCGAAGCGGTGCCGTCGGCTCGGGCGCGGACCGACGCGGAATCGCGCGGGGCCAGGCCGGGCTTTCGTTGCGTGGAGACGCCGTCGCGTGCAATCGTGGACAAAGCGCGCTGCCTCGCGGGTTGCCGAACCTGCCCGGCTCCAAGGCGTCCCGGCAAGCCCGGGCTCCCCGGGCCGTCTTGAAACCGGACCAAGGAGTATATAATTTCATTAGTGTTGGCGATGTAAGTCGTTTTTAAAGCGTTATAGGGTGCCGGTTACAAAAGTTGTAAATATGAAATTCCCGCGGGTGGGTGGGAATCTGTACTGTGTGATGGTCATAGCTCCATAATTTGTTAAGTGAGGTATTAGCCATTCATCTGTCATGAACTAAGTACATGCACTCTGGGTTATTTTTTAATATTCCCAGAGTAGCTATTGTACACGAATTGATTCTAATAACTCCTTGAAGTTGGGATTAAGAGGATTAGCCGGTATGTCGTGCCAGGTCGCCCTTGTTAGGTGTACTTTATATATTATTCCAAGTAGAAGACTATAATATAATAATTAACAGCTTAATTTATTTTAGCAGTAATCAGATAATTGCGGGATAGTTAATGAAATCATTTAATTTGTTTTGTTCGGCAAAGATTCAGAAAGGTTAGATAAGATTAAGAACACAATCATTTTTAAAATGAAGTTGATACCATTCTATTTGGCTTTTGCTTTCTCATACTTTTTTTCTTAAATTAATTTTATTTTTATGGATTTCCACTCAAACGCTATATTTTTCTATCAGCTATCTCTCCAAAAAGCTTTTCAAATTTACCTAACATTACATCATTATATTGAGTGATCGTTTATCATATAATATATATAGTCTTATAATCTTATCAAAAACATTTTTATAAATTAATTAAAATATTGAATGATAAGCACAAACTATACTTATAAGTTCAAAAAAGTTCAGCACGAATGAGACTCGAGCTTGAGTCTAATAATATTCAGTTTGAAAGTTCATCGAGTCTTATCGAGCTTTTATATATTAATATACATAATATTTAATTTATGCTTACTCGAATTTAAAATTTTTCAAATAGAATTCGTGATTGAATTGAACTCGAGCTTTCATTAAGCCGAACTCGAGCCTAAAATTATTAAATTCGTCAAATTTCAACTCGGTATGACTCATTTATATCCCTAATTAGATTAAGTAATAAATGTTACTACAGTTAATATTACCTAATAGGATGTAAGGGTTTGTTTAGATGAGGTGAAGGAAAGTTTATTAGAGTAAGGTAAAGTAATGTAAGATATGACAAAGTAAGGTACTGGAATTTTTTATATTTGGAAGATAGATAAAGAAATAAAAGTTTAATAATGTTATTGTCGTGTTGTTTGGTTTAAAAGTGTGAGAAAATAGAAAGTAAGGGTATCATGATAATACCCTCCCAAAAGTAGTTATTTTAAATGTATAAAATTGATTAGAATTATTTTTTTGAAATATTAATTTTATGAATATTAAAATAATTCTTCTTAAATTAAATTTTAATAATATTAAAATAAAAATATCTTAATTAATTGAGAAGAAATATAAAAGCAATTTAGAGATTTAAAAAAATAAATATAGACTATGGAAATAAAAATTTTTAACCATTCCTCCAAAAACCAAACAAAAATACTTCCCTGTCCTTCAAATCTTCTTCCTAAACAATGAATAATAATTTAACCTTAATTTATCTTTAACCTCAAGCTTAAGTGGATAAAAGCTAACTACATATCATTAAGTCATGCTAACTATATATCAAGTTGATATTTTAGGGATAAAAGCTAAAATCTAAAAATTATTAATAGAAAAATATATAATATTACCAAAATTTGCAAATTCAAGTGCATGATAAGTCGTTTTTAAACTTTAGGGTGCTACAAAATTAAAATATGAAAATTCATGGGTGAATTTATATATTCATCCATAATTTTAATGAAACATTCATTTCATGAACTAAGTACATGCACTCTGGGTTATTTTTAAATATTCCCAGAGTACTATTTAAAGAAGTTAAACTCTCATTGATAAGAGATAGAATGTCTCAGCCTTATCTATTAGACTAACTCCACTCCATATATATCTATACCATTTGTTGTTTTTCAGGTTTCCAAAAACAAACAAAACAAGATGTATAAACGATGAGAAATTGCTGTCAAAGGGTTTTCTAAGAAATATTCATATCTCTTGAAGTATGGACCGAATTCGAATTAGATTTAGTGAGTTCTACACTCGAGTAAATTTATAGATATATACGGGCTTTAATAGATATGAAGACGAAAATTTGGTCCGAGTTAAATTGAGTTTATCGTTGACTCGACTTGAACCAAATTTAAAATTAAAATAAATTACTCAAATTCGATATTTTTATCAGGTAAATGGATTAAACAGATACTCAAACCCATGAACAGGTTAAAACTAATTCCATAAAAAATGTGGTTGAGTTGAACATTCATTTACTATTGCAAGAAAACTTGTGTAGATCACCTCTACAGGGAATGGATCATTTGCAACGGGGAAAAGTCTATCATCATAATAAAACACAGCACGCAAAAAATTTACAGAGAAAAGTTAGTCTACGTAAAGCTAATACTATAATTATTACTAACAAATAAACGTATGATGATGCCATAATACTCTTGTTTTCAAATCTAACTTATAGACCAATTGAATTTTATGCCTTTCAGGTTTTTAATATAGTTTCATTTTTCAATGTAATTGGTTCATTTCTTAATTCAAATTGACTAATAATTAAGTAATAATAATATATATAAGTGCGTCCACCCGCACGCTGTGAATGTATCCATTCATTGCACCATAAGCAACGCGTTTAAACTGCTCTACTCTTGCATTAAACATGTGTAAAACAAAAAATCAAACATGATATAATACTGACGGAAATTAATAATAGTACTAAGAAAAACAACAAAAGCTGTATAAAAAACCGGTTTTAAATCCGTTATTATATTTAAAATTACACTTATCTCAATGTAAATTATACATTAATGATAACAGCATTTATCTAATAAAATTTTAAATTTAATGGCTAACAAGATTATTGTATAAACTTAATTTTATAATATATAAATCTTTACACTTTTGATGAAATTGAAAGAATATATTAAATTAAATTAGAGAGGCATGTGGCATGGCGGATGATTCCCATGTGCATATATTAAAAAAAATAAATATTGTTATATTATATAATGTCGTAATGTAAATATTAATAAATGAACAAATAAAAAAATAAATACTGTTGTCAATCTTTCTTTCTAATTCTAACCAATACAAAGGGCGGCAAAGACCATACTCTCACACGTGAGCATGTTCTCCAAAGTCAACTTTCTTCCATTTTCACTTCTCAAAATTACAATAATTATAGATAATAGAGTGTCGACCGTCGACCCACCCGAATCCGTGTGGACTTTGGACCCATCCAACCAACAGAATTAACTCTACGAAACGACATACGAAACTCGCATATCGACAGATCAAACGCGTCCGTTTGACATACAGTTAATTAACACTTAGCCTTTACATCTATATTTTATTATTAATTAATCATATTTTTGAAAGCTGAAGCATCCACGGTGTTAGTTAAAGTCTCTCTCAATATCTATATATAGCTTTTAGTTTTGTTGGCAAGGCCAGCCAGCCACTCTTTTCATCTCCACTTCTCTTAATCAATAACATTCATAATACTACTATTTCTTCTTTATATATTTCTTCTACTTCAATCAATCTCTTTCAAGTTTCACCATAATAATATTGCTTCTGTACTCTTGGCTTTTATTATCCTTTTTATAAACTTAACGATCAAAAAAAGAAAGAAAGAAAGAAATGGCGGCTTGTTTGGTTTCTCGGTCAGGAAGAGAGTTGCAGAGATATGATAATCAGGGCCGTCGCCAAGTTGTAGGGTAAGTATTGATTGGGTTGTTCCATTTCTTGATCTGTTAGGTTTTCTTTCTTTGGTTTTTCATTTCCAAGATCAAGAAAGCGTCGTTTAATTGTGGCCCCCATAAGCTTTGATTCTTCTATGGAGTTTTTTTTTTTGACATTTAGGAATTTTATGAGTGGCCCCCCAGCAGACATCTTGTGCTTTGTCTCTTTCTTTAATTTCCGATTTGAAATAAATAAAAAATATTACTATTTTTAACATATGAAATTTAATTAATTTGCAGATGCATTCCTTATAGATACAAGAATTGTAGTGATGGCTTAATTGGGGATGAAGTAGAAGTTCTTGTCATCACTTCACAGAAAGGTCAAGGAATGATGTTTCCCAAGGTATATATGAGTAATTCTGATTTCCTTTTTAAATTAATTAACAGTAATTTTCTTTCTTTTATCATATTGCATCTTAATTAATCATGAGTTAAATCTATATTTAGGGTGGTTGGGAGCTTGATGAATCTGTAGAAGAAGCAGCTTCTAGAGAGTCTCTTGAAGAGGCTGGAGTTCTTGGACATGTTGAGGTTAGTTTCAATGTCATACTTGTTTATGTTTAATTATTATTATTATAATAATTACTAGTTACAAAGTTTAATTTGTTAAGTAATTAATTAAAATATATATGATGATTATTGCAGGATGAACTGGGCAAATGGAACTTTTTAAGCAAAAGGCATGGCACATTTTATGAAGGGTATATGTTCCCTTTGTTAGTCACTGAGCAACTTGATTTCTGGCCTGAGAAAGATCTCCGGCAAAGAATTTGGGTAAGTGTACTCTTAATTAAACTTTAATTTTCTTTTTTGAGAAATTATATATAGAAACCTAATTATTCTTTGAAATGCGTCCTAAATTTTATATGTTTTGTGTACAGATGACTGTGGAGGAAGCAAGAGATGTTTGTAGGCATTGGTGGATGAAAGAAGCTTTAGACATATTAGTTGAGAGGCTAACATCTATTCAAATGCAACAACCAAAGGAGGAAGACAATGTATTATCATGCTCACTAAGCTAGCTAAGGGAAAGAATATTGAGATTTAAATTATTTCTTTGTACATAATAACATGTTGCTTCTCTAAAGATCTAGTTAGGGCAAGCTGTATGGATCCAAGGCTGATAGTTGTAGAAAAATAGAGAATCAATTAATCATTGTTCTTTTTGCTGCTAAATTATGATTTTTTTTTTTTGCCTTTTTTTTTTTCCTTTTGAATTTTCCACAACTACCTCCACACCCTTTTCGAGTATAAGATTAAGATTAATCTTATTTTAGGACTCGTGGTGTCTTTTTCTGTCCCATCTTATTATAAGTATTTTTCTATAGAATGAAACGGGACTAATTTACAGAGATTATCTACTAACTTCAAGTGTGTTTTACCACTTTACTACTTTGAGTTACAAATTATGGATATGATTTTTTTGGCCTTTTTTGTTTGTAATTGGTGATCAAACCACAAAAAGGCAAGCTAAAAAGAAATTCTAAAATTTAAAGATCATTTACCTTAAAATAAGCATATATATATATATATATATATCGGTATATATAGCTAGACTTCACATTAATTTCTTACGTTCTTTAAAATATTTTTTGGTGTATGTGCCATTGCTTAATACAATGTTTGTTAATACGATGCCCTGCATGATTCAAGAAAACAAAGCTTTATCTTCTTGCTGAGCTGTATGTATTAGTTTATTTAATATATCGAGGATGTATAACTTAATTATGCAGTCTCTAAGACGTCGTCTTTCTTAAATGTATGTGTATATTATATAACAGCCACTAAAATAAAGGCAAGAACATATTTCCTTACTGATAAATTTGGAAAAAATGGATAAAATTATTCCTAAATTGAATTCCCATCAATTAATCCATTTTCTTGAGCATAGATTCTTGCCTAATTTCCCCACTTTTTAGTGCTTTTTAGCAGAACCCACTAACAATATGTGACTTTTTTTTTATAGACTTCACATTAATTTCTTACCGTTCTTTGAAAATATTTTGTTTGCCATTGCTAATACAATGTTTTGTTAATTACGATGCCCTGCATGATTCAAGAAAACAAAGCTTTATCTTCTTGCTGCTGTATGTATTAGTTTATTTATATATCAGGATAGTAACTTAATTATGCAGTTCTAAGACTGTCGTTTTCTACATGTATGTGTATATATATATACACACTAAAAATAAAGGCAAGAACATATTCTTCTGATAAATTTGGAAAAATGGATAAAATTCTAAATTGAATTCCCATCAATTAATCCATTTGCTTGAGGCATAGATTCTTCTAATTTCCACTTTTTAGTGCTTTTTAGCCAAACCCTGAAAATATTTGACTTTTTTTTTTAACTTATCTATAAGGAAAAAAAATCCAATAAAAAAAAAAAAATCATTTCTTTGGTTTTATGAACTCTTTGGTGCCTCCAACCAAATTTTTTGATATAAATTGTCTCCAGCGTAGAAGCATATATAGCACAGTAGGTATATGTCAATCATATCCTTTTGTTTGCAACCACAACCGCGTACTGCACTTTCACCAGACAGTTTTATCCATTTACAATCACATGCTGCCAACGCTACATGTTATTATAGGTAGTTGTAACATCAATTTATTCTGTTAATTAATTAATGAGAAATCATTTTGATTTGAAAATTATTGTTTCTAAAATTTATTTTGACATTGAAAATTAACTTTAACGTATATTCATCAATTGAATCTAACTGCAATTATTCGCATATATAATAAAATATGATACTATTCACATGTATTTATCAACTAAATTGATCCACGTTATCATATAGGTTAACTGCAATCGCTTACCTATATAATAAAATATAAAATTTATATATTAGATATGCGTTACGTCGTTGATAAACTCGTATAGAATTTGAAAGTGACAAGCATAACTTACAAGTTGGCGAAAGAGAAAATCAACAACTTGATCATTATGAAGGATTGAAAAATTAAATTCAGGATCACCAATGGAAGTAATTGTGTCCCAGAAAGCAGCTGCATCACTCGCCTTTCTTGAATTTTACACAATGCAATATATATACTCGATGTCTTGTCATTCTCCACTTAGAGAAAAGTTGCAATTTGCAGTACTGTAATTGATATTATTGTGTGAATTATTATTAAAAATTTTGGTAAGTTACTTTTTGGAAAAAAATAATAATTATAAACTTAGTAGTAAACATATATATTCTTGTTCTAGTTTCTTTTGGTACCAATTCAAATTGGACCCGCCTTGTTTGCTATACCTGCTCTGCTTCCCCTTCTCCAACTTATGTTATAGCTTCAACTTTCATGAAGCTCATCAAAGTTTCAAAAGATGCAAAATGGACCTAGTACGTAAGACTAGTTATTGTGCGTGCGTGGGGTTATCCTTTTAATAGTAAGTTTGGAACCAGAAGAAAGAAGAAATAAATGGATTAATGTATTTTGTCTGTTGTGAGTGGATGACTTTGGTTGACCATAAAGGGTGACTTTAGTTGACTAGCTTGTTTGGTGACGAAGAATTGTTCATTTAGGACTAATTAACGTAGATAGAAAGCCAAGAAATGAATGTGCAGATAGAAAAATATAGAAATGGCAGCTGCCAGCCTCTGCATATTACTTGTGTTTTACCAGGTATAAGAAAGAAACCTGCGACGTGAAGAAACTAGAAACTCATGAGACCACCCATAGATGTGGACTTCAATGTACATGTTGCTAAACATTAAAGCTTACAAATCAATTCCGACAAAAGAAGTGGGATTTGGAGTATCACAATTTTCACAATTGCTGGGTCAAATGATGAGCAAAATAGTGAAAAATCAAATGAAATATTAGGTATTTGAGATCAAAAAACGGCTTTGAATACTAATAATCAGTAATCACCTGTAGTTTATCAATATCCCTCTGGATGACAGCAAAATATTTTCCTATTTGGCTGTCGGAGAAAAAGAAATTTTCGTTCTTAAAGAATCAATTAATTGCGACGCAATTGATTTTTCACTTTTTATAAGAATATGGATAATAATAGACTAATTTGACGAATTTATAAAATATCTCATTGTATAACCGACGACTCATATTATCCCTTAAAATAAAAAAAAAAAAAATCAATTCTTCCTTTTTTTTTCTTTTCTATTGATATTTCTTTTTTTTTAATCAGAAAGGAAAAAAAATTTTCTTATTTTAGTTATGGAAAATCTTCATACTCTTTTTTAGCATGAAACTAATCTTGTTTAAAAGGAAAATAACATTGAGCCAAATTATAATATTAGATATAATTTGTTACATATTTTTTAATTTTCATAATATAATTAAAAATAATTATTTTACTTTTCTTTAGAAAATTTCTTCCTTTCTAAAATATGATAATTCAATATTTTTAAAATTGCTCTTTTTGAAAATCCACTTTCCGCAAAAATGATGTTAGATAGAAATGGTGAATTTGAATAACAAGTAGATTTGGATGTAAGCCCAAATAAGACATCGAAAATGGTGGGCCTATTCCTAACAAGTTCCTAAATTCCTAGATATATAATTATAAATCTGACCGTTAAAACCTCGAAGAAGACTTCCAAATATCGGTTAACTCCTGATTTTCCCGCCAGTTTCAAAAGCCATTATCGAATGCATAAATTATTTCGATCTCATCTTGTTTATCTGTGTTCCAGTCTCAAAAGTTGCTATGAAAATCCCAAATTTTTTGTACCCATTTCACAATTACACACTTTCCCTGAAACCCTAGGTCCCAATTCAAAGCTAGATTTTGTTTTCAATGAAGTTGAGGCTCTCAATTCTTCAATCTCCACAAACCATTTAGCTCAACCATCATCAAAAGCCAATGAACTGTCTGTTCAAAGGGAATACATTAAAGAAAAGGAATCGATGGTTCAGATTTCACACCCTTGGCCTGAATGGGTAAATTTAATGAAATTGTTGATAAGGAGAAGCTACTTCGAAATCAATGGAAACCCATTTCTAAATGGAGAATTGGGTAACAAGGAAAAGAACTGGATTAGAACTGCGTGTCTGAATTTTGGACGAGATCAATTTGGGCTTATAAGGTAATTGGAGTTCGGTTTTTGTATTTGAATTTACATAGTCTAGACGATATGATTTTGTTTTCTTTTTGTGGTTGAATTTGTCTTGCGTTTCCATGTTTTTATTTTAATTTACATTGATTTTTGTTTTCATATTGATTTTCTGTACGCACAGTTTCCTAGCTATTGTGTTTTCTAATTATGCACTCAACCTGTTTGATTTTAGGTTTGCAAGAGAAATAGTTCTATCTCTTGTTTGCAGAATCAGATATGTTTACTTAAATTTTACTAATTTTAGCGATTTTCCTTTTAGATTTATATTTACACCAGCTTCCTTTGCTTCCAGGTTCTTGTCAAGGAAAGACATCCATGTCATTGTTGGATGCGGCTGTCCAAGCATAGATAGGAAAGTAGTCAACTCAGGGAAGCGTCTAAGAGCACATGTAGGCATTGATGAAGGAAATGTACGTGCTGAGCCTTTTTTCTCATTTACTCAACAGTTGACTTAAATTTGAAAGATTTTTCATTTTTTTTTCAACAATGTTACAGCTTACATCTGAACTCGTTTTATTCACAAATTTAGAGATTAGTGATCATCCATCACATCTAACTTGAGTGAACATCTTCTTAGGTTTGCAGCTCCTGCAAATTGAGGGGAGATTGCGAAAGGGCATATGTGAAGGCACGTGAAGATGAAGGTGGGCGGACTATAGATGTCATGCGCATTCTACTGACATATGGACTTGATTCTATTTTTGTTGAAAACAAGGCAGTTCAAAACAAAATTGTTAAAGATTCGGTTAGAATGTTAATGAAAGAAATGGTAGATTACAGCAGCCAGCCACTTGACTCCGATCTTCAAGACGGCAAGATCTTGAAATATGGTGCAACTCTGGAAAATCACTCAAATGTTCCAATGAAGCAAGGCGATTGGCTTTGCCCGAAGTAATTTGCTTGCTATTCTACGGGGCCATCTATGTCATATTATTTGTTTACAGGGAGCTGATCATTTTTTTTTTCTATTTTTCTGCTGTTAGGTGCAACTTCCTTAATTTTGCCAGAAATATTAGGTGTTTGCGCTGTGATGGTCTGTTCCAAGAAAGATTGAAACAACTACACGAAGATCAAAATCATCTTCCCTTGAAAAAAGGAGACTGGATTTGTGAAAAGTAATTAATGATTTTCTGATTTCTTGATGATATATAATACTTGATGCTTGGTATCTCATCAGGACTTAAATTTTCGCAGATGCAATTTCTTGAACTTTGCAAAGAACACAAGATGTTTGCAGTGCAAGGAGAAACCTCCAAAGCGGCAGCTAAATCCTGGGGAGTGGGAATGCGAATCGTGAGATACCTAATGCATTAGAAATATCTTGATATCAGCACTTGAGATAGTTTCATTCTGCAACTGTGTTATATTTTACAGGTGCAATTACATCAATTTCAGAAGAAACATGGTGTGCTTGAAATGTGATCACAGACGGCCAAAGGCATTAAATGCTACAAACATCACTTCTACTCAGCCTGAACATGATAATGCAGGCTATCCCAACCAAAGGAGATCAAGGTTTGTTCATGATGAAAATGAAGCCAATGGTGATAAATCCATGGGACCAGAAAGAAGAAATCAAAGAAGACGTGTAGAGATGTGGAGATTTGTGGAGGAAGAAAGAGAAGATAATCAGAATGAGGACTCTAGATTTGTGAATTTCCCCATCGTGGGAGGTAAAAGCAGCTTGTCGCAAAATGCAGAAAAGAGAGAGAGATGGAAGATAGAGATGTTAGAGAAGAATAAAACTAGTACAAGAACAAATGAAAGTGATGAAGAATTTAGGTTCACTGATACCCAGAGATGCAAGTACCTTGAAGCAACTGATGATGAAGACATGTCTGAATGGTTTGGGAACGGAAAAGAAATGGAATAACAAAGTTCTACAACGACAGCTGAGAAATTCCGGACTAGTGATCGGACAAAATTTTGTTTTGTAAGATGAGAAATTGTGATAGGAATTGGCACTTACCCATGTATTGCAGGTTCCATAAAAATCCTTTTCTGTGCATAAGATTGGATATAAAAATGTCAAAAATGAAAAATCTACAACACGTTTGATAGTCAGTTTCTTTGCATAAGAAAAGGTAACAGCTTCAGTCAGAAATTCTTTGAAGTTCCTTTACAACAAGTTTACAGAAGAAGCATTCAAACAAGCATTTTTGTACTTGCGAATTATCGTCTCGTTGAGAAAATTTTATTGCGTAGTAATGTAGTTGAAATATTGTACTTTTTTGAGTCATAGCCTATAGTAATTAATCTAACAAAGTCTTGTAAATACCCAATTTTTTCTTTCAAAGGGAAAAATACCAATCTTATAAATATATTATAATAAGAATGCCGCAAACATACTCAATAAGCCAAAAAGAAATATTGGATTATTATATATCTTAGCAGAAGCTTATAATTATGTTAGTCAATGATTTCATCCTATACGAGACTCACATTAGCGATTTTATTCAAAAACTTTCATGCAATATAAATTTAATTCAAGAATTCAAACATGTTTAATAGATTAATTAGTTTTGGAACGTTTTAGTACCAAATGCATATATCTATTTATAATATGTAACTTTTTATAAAGAATGCATACGTTTATCAGGGAATAAAATAATTGGTTAATATTTGGATTTATGCATTTTGCTATTTTCAAAACTATTTTCAGATCTCATCTAACAAAACTACTTACAAATTTGATGTAATCTTAAAATTATTTATCAAAGTAATGTGAGGACCAGGCACCAAACTGCCAATGGCAGTAACAATTTCTGAAGCTAATTATTTAAAAAAAAAAAAAAAAATTAAAGATGCTTTCGTAATGGTTCAACGAATGTACGTTTTGTAGAAAACAAATAAAAAGAAAAAAAATATTGGCATAAAATACAGCCAAGATAATGGCATTAACAATGTTATTTTTTTATTATATATATAAAAATATATATAAACTGCCACTGCTATCTATGGCATACTGCTACATAATAAAAAAGACATCATATTAAACAGCTAGTTACTATCTTGAATAATTGCTTGAACATTTAGCAATTTCATATGTGTGTGTATAGATATATAAATATTACAAAGTAATATAGTACGAATACATTATTCCACAGTAAATTTTCAAGTTTTACCTTAGAGTCAAAGCCTGTAGAAATTTGTCAAGGTCTTGTCTTCCAAATCTTTTGAGAAGAACCTCCTCATATAGTCTGTGAGCGTGAATTGCCTGTATAAAGCTGGTTTTTCCGGTGATATTAGCTCTGGGATCGGTCCATACAAACAGTCTCTCTTACTAGGGTTGAAGAAAACAGCGATAGAAACCCGTGGATCTGGTGAGGGATTAGCCAATACTCTATGATCTACACTTTTGTATTCATCATTGGATAGGATCTGAAGGACAGAGAAACATCAAAGCTTAAAAAAAACAGTGTAAGATATGATTAAATAGTACTAAAACAAAAACAGAGGACATCTTATGGCTGTTAAGTTTTCCCATCGTAAAAGACAAACAAGCATTCACCAATCATCTTTACCTGAAATATATCTCCAATGTTAATAACAAGAGCTCCTGGAACAGGTTTAACATCAATCCATTCATCACCATGCTTAACCTGTAAACCTCCGATATGGTCTTGGAGCAACACTGTCAAAACCCCAGGATCTGTATGTGATGTAATCCCAAAAGTAAGATCAGGTTGTGGGCAATGTGGATAATAGTGTGCCACCATTGTCTTGCCTTCCAAACATGACATCTTCTTCAATCTTCCCGCATCCAATCCCAGCCCTTCGCTTAACAATTCCATCAACATTTCTGCTACATTTGTAGCCTGTTTATTCCACTCAATCACCTCATTCCTGCATATCTCTGGGATTTTCTCTAGTTCTGGTAAGCTAGGACCTAACATCACCTGAAGTGTATCCCTACAAACACACATGAAGATCAATTTCATCAAATAAATGAATGGTGAAATTCATTTGATCTAAAAAATTTAGATAAAAAAAAAAATTCTGCAAATCAATTCTTAACAATAAAGTTTAAAATAGAATCCATTTGCAACTCCTAATATTTATAATTTGTAATACCGTGACGTCATAATCTAAAAATTTACTTTAGATGTATCGAGCTATTGAGGCATTTACCAACTGAAAATAATACATCTAAAGTATAAATTTGATTCAAATTAAGGCGGACAGACCTCCAACTAGCAGCTTTAGCTCGAAACAAGTCGATGTTAGAGATGAAGGATACGCCGGTTCCCCCATCTCGCCGATACCACTGCTTCTTGATCTCTGATGGCTGCTCGTGAAACGCCTTGATTCCACTAATTGCGCGGTCCATAACCTCCACCGGCACTCCATGATTCACAATCTGAAAAAATCCAAGCTCCCGAGAAGCACGGGAAAGCTTTTCCACAATCGCGGGTCTCCTGTCGGAATTAAAGCCGGAGAGGTCAATGGTAGGTATGACTTCGGATCGAGGACGGAGAACGGGTTTGAGGTTGGCTAATGCATCGGACGGGTGGATAAAGATACGGGGAATTGAGGTGAGGCCCGAGTCGATCAGGCCTTTGACTCCGAGTTTAGAGTCGTCGAATCGTTTCGCCTCTTCTAAACGATCGTAATCTTGATTATCATCATAATCACTGCTAATTGATTTTACCGTCGTTGAAGCCATGGTTCTCTGTGCAGGTGCAGAGTAGGGAGAGCACTTTGATTTTTACATAGTTGAAAAAAAAAAACTTTATTTTGAATGAATATATTACTGATATAATTAAATTAATAGTTGTCTTTTTTTTTTCCAAAATAATTAAATTAAATTTTAAAATTAAAAATTAAGGTGAGCTGAAACGACCCGAAAATTTAATTTCGTAGAATTTTCATTTAAAAACTAATTTTTTTTTATTTCAACCAATGAAATCATACCAGCTAGTATTTTATTATTGCTAAATAGGAGAGCACTTTGATTTTACATAGTTGAATAAAAAAAAACTTTAAATTTTAATGAAAAAATATTACTGATATAAATTAATTAATAGTTTGTGCCTTTTTTTTTTCCAAAATAATTAAATTAAATTTCTTAAAAATTAAAAATTAAGGTGAGACTGAAAACGAACCGCCGAAAAATTTAATTCGTAAATTCCATTTAAAAACTAATTTTTTTTTATTCAAGCCAATGAAATCAATACAACTATATTTTATTATTGCTAAACCTGGACCCATAAACCAATTTGAAACTCGAAAACCCAAGCAATCGAGCCCGAATCATTGAAATTAGACAACGGTTCGAATCGAAGCCGGAAGGACCCGTCTAGACACCTCAGAATTTTTTTCTTCTTTCCTCTTTTTTTTTTTTTTTTTTTTCTTTTGTTCTGTCTTTTCTTTCTTTTTTTTTTTTTCTTTTTTTTTCCTTCTTCTTCCTTGCGCCAGCACCTTATTCTTGCCGAACTCCTCTCCTCCTCCCTCTTCTTCCGACAATCTTAAGACCAACGCAAGCGCCTCCCCGCCATCGCCTCTCACGTCGCATACGTCGCAGCGGATCCCGGCTTCCCTTCCCTTCTCTCTTTCGTCTCTGGCGTACGCAGGAGGTGCAGGAGAGCCGCGACATCCTTCGATCGGAAGATCGCGTCCCTGCCTGATTTTCCGGCGGCGTCGATTCAGTATTGTCGAGGACGAAGATTCGATCTCTCTTCTTCACTCTCTCCTTCCCGTTCCGGCTGGCGCAGTGAACCAAGAAACTGCGATCACAGCGCGTAGTAGGTAAAGTCGCATTCAAAACCTTGGTGAGCTCTATATGATCCCTTTTCCTTCAATTATTTAGCTTATTCAATGGCTCATTTGAGGAAAGGGTTGTTAGAATCATGAATGAGAAATGCTAGGTTCCTGAAACACTATTCACACGACTGGAAGTTGGGAAAAATCTGATTTTTGACTATTAATTGACATTATGACTGCATTTTTCAAGGAGATGTGTAAGTTAGGGTGTTTATTGTAGGTCCTATGAAAGAAATTAGAATGATTGTGATATGGTAGCAGCCAACCTAGCTATTTGCTTAAAATTTCTGCTTTGGTGTGTAATGGTAGTCCTAGTAAAGAATCTTAAGAATGATTGTGATAGGTGTAAGCAGCCGAACCTAGCTATTTGGCTTTAAAAATTTTCTGCTTGATATGAGGCATTGGACATGATATAGTTAAGTTTTTGTTGGTAAATGATTAAGCTAGTGTTTATAATCTATGGGATTTTGGATGTCGAGAAACCTATATGGATTTTGATCGAGAAACCTTGATTTGCTTAGGTTGGCAGCAGCTATCTTCAATTATTTCTATTGATTTTTGGTTTGACATGGTACAATTAAGGTTGTAAATCTAATTTTTGCGTGGAATTAGTTAGTTGGTGTGATCCATGATTTTGAGATAGAAAAACTTAATTCTTTTGCGAATTGACAGCTGTTATGAAATTGATCCTTATAAATTTTGACTAATCAAAGCTAAGAATGAGGTTGTAAGTTCAATTTTTGCAAGGTGGGTTAGTTGTTGCGTAATCTATGATTTTAGTATAGAAGAGCTATGATTTTAGTATAGAAGAGCTATGAATTTTTGTATTTTGGCAGCAATGACCTTAGACTTTGCATTGTTTTAGAACAACAAAAATATATAAGTGAGTATATTTCCAAGTTTCTATATTGGTTGATATATAAATGCTTATTTATATTTGATAGACGATTAAAATGGGTTTGTTAGCTATGATCATGTATGGTGAGGAAGATGATTCGTAGATCATTAAATTCAATTATGAGATCCTTATGAGATCCTTGTTAATAATCAAGAAAATAAAAGAGTTTATGAATTATAATTGCATACGATTATTAAAGGTATATGTATTTGGAATAAGAATTATATGAAATTAACTAACTTAACAGTATAAGATTTGTTTGTATATGTATGTATAAACGATTTCATTTATTCGGTATTCAGCTAAAGTGGCTAATTATATTGATGTGAAGCAGGAATGATTGAAATATGCATGGAACATGTTTGAATTATTAGTTGAATGTTGACATTGTTGTTTCTGAAGGAGGAAGGGAAATTAATTTATTTGATTGCCCGATGGATGGGCTGTGTGGCTGTGTATGTAATGGTTGATGGATGTAATATTGCTTATATTTGAGTAGATAGATAGTCCAATTTTTATGGGAGGTGCTGCCGAAATTTCGATAGAACTTAGATTAATTTTAGTTAACAACATAATTAATAAGTTTAGTTAGATTAGTTCTATAACTTGGTACATAATAAATGTAGTGCTCTGATTATTTATTATCTTTATTACTCATTTAATGATTTACATATTTATTTATTTATTTATTTCCATTATTATGTTATTCTTTTCATTGTTTATTTGTGTTTATTCATTATTTATAATTGTGATTTTATTTTATTGTTTGTTGTTAACACTATACTTATTATTTGCTTAATTTGATTTGGATGCCTAATTGTGCATTGGCGTAGCGGTTAGTTTAATTGATTAACATGTTTGCATGTTAATTGCAATACTGATTAATGCGTTTGAGTGTGTTGTGCTTTCGTTTGTGTGGAATGGGAATTGAAGTGGACCACCATGGGTTGGTGAGGAGGCTGTGATATGGATCCGGTTTATGCAATGAATACTTGACCGGCGGCGGAAAATGGAGAGTCGTCGCCCACTTGTTGCACCTGACTGAATAGCATAGATGGAAATTCACAGGAGGCTTCTTGTATTGGCGCACTCTGATAATCTAGATTTTGATTGAGCCGCATGGTGCCGCTGTTGAGCTACTTGTTATGATGCAGTGGATGAACCACCGAGTTGCCGTCTCTGTTAATATGGAAGAAGAGAAGAGAGAATGAAAATCATAATGCGAGGGCTGTCAGTGAGTATTAGACCCAGTTGGCCGTATGGGTGATCGGCTCCCTGGCTGCCATTATGAGAGGGCGAGCCATGTTGAGACGGCTCTTGGGGCCAAGTGCTGCTCACTGACATAATTTTCCACTTGTCTTGTTTAATTGAAGTGACATTGACTTGTGAGTGTCGTGGTGATATGGCCATTTGGTGTATTGGTTCGCTTGTGAGCACCATACTAGTCGATGACTAGATTGCTATATTTATACTTGTGTGAAAGCATGTGTTGGTGTCAACTAAGTAATTCGACGTTTCTAGAAAACTCATTCCATGTCTTGTTTATTTGTCCAGGAAGTGAAGTTTTTTCTTTAATCCAGTTTAGGCTAGTTTTCTGTCGGCGCAGGGCAATAGAAAATTTTCCCTGGTTCTATAATTTATTTTCACTATTAATTATGCGCATAAAAAAGCTAGTATAGCCAAATGAAGTGGAGTGACCTTCCGAGCGAGGTTGTAGATATTTGACATTTATTTTAGACTGTTGAATTAACATAGACAAAATAATTCTGTAAGCCCCATATAGAATGGATTAAATTGTAATTCGTGCTCGAACTAGTAGAATGCTGTGAAGATAGAATAGACTGGGCCGAGAATAATAAAAATTGAGGTTTAATCTTTCATAATAAATGGCGATGTTTAAAATTATCTTTGATTATAAATAAATTTTTAGTGTTTCAGGCTTACTACGGGTCTCGGGGGCCTTAAGCTTACCTGGGCCCTAGTGCCGGTCCGGCCCATGGAATCGGGTCGTGACATGAGCGCTATAAATTTAACTAAATGAATGTCTGCACGCATTGCTTAACAAATTATATATGATACAGTAAATTATTTGCAACCTCTAAAATATATTAAAACATCATTTTAGTTTGAAAGTAAAGTATTTTTAAAATAATTCATATGGAGTCCAAACTCTTTAAATTAGGAAGGAATAGAACTTCAAAAAAAAAAAAAAAAAAAACTCTAAATCCTTCTTCTAATCTTTTTTCCCATAGACAAAGGAAGATTATATGAAAAAAAATTATTTACTTATTAAATGTTAAATAAGTTTTAAATATTATAATTTCGTGCTAAGTAAATCAAAAGGAATGAACCTATAGAATTCTATTTAAAACAAATTTATGACAATTAAAAGGACTAACCTAACTCCTATAGAATTCTATTCAACTTAATAATAAAAAAGTAAGCCTTTTACATCTTGATACATAGTAATTAATTAAAAGCAAATCTTAATTATGAAAAAATATATATATATATGGTTGTCATCTTCTACCCTGTCGATGTCCCCACGGTAAGCATAGTGGATATGAATCTCGTCTTGATTATCCAATGGCATGTGTAGCTCATATCTCTAAGTCCATCTGCAGAAAAATTTCCTAATATAAGAACTCCAAGTGTTGCCAATATTTAGAATATCAGTCGATCTATATATTTAAAATACTGATTCAATCTAATAAAATTATTTGAACCGAGGGAAACAAATCTTTCAAAAGGGATTGAGCACTGTAAGCGTCTCTAATGATGATGTCAATCAAATGCCATAAAATCAAGTAAAAATTACTTTATTTTACATGTCAATTATATTTTTTCACTTCAGAATTATATAAAATGAATTAACCTGTTTGTTATTTAACACTGTTCAATATATGTTTTCACGTTCATCAGAATTATATTTATGATTATTTATATATTTTATATTGTTATTGAAAATTTTTTATTTTCTTGATTAAAAAGTTAATAGCATTTTTATTATGGGTTAAGATTGTATTTTCGTAGATTGCGATTGATTTAAGTGATTCTGTGTTTCGGATTTATAGGCTATTATTTTTTGTTTGAAATTCTAATAATATTGAATAATAATTTCAAAACAATTAATTTTTTGATTTGTAATTCTAATAGATCTACAAATATATATTAAAAGTAAACAATTATATATGATTTACATAAATTATAACAACAATCTTCAGTAAAATAATAAATTTGTAGTTGATTGGATGATTTATAACTTATATATAAGAAATATTTCATAAAAATAAAGATTAATGAAATGTATGATCACACAACTACAATTATAATAAATATTATTTACATATATATAATTTTTTTTTTTTCATTTTTAGTAAGGTAAATATTATTGGTTTATGCTGTTTCATATAAAATTTTTAGAATTTAATATTTTATATTCATCTTAGAGAAAGAAATTTAATATTTGTTCTCTCAAATCGATGGTCTTTTAAATTTGGCAAAATTAAGTTTTTTTATTATAAAAAATAGAAGTTATATAATATATGTTATATTTTTTTTGGAGAATTACTGTTGATTTATTAGATTGATAATATAGATTATCAAGCATTATATTTTAAATTTGTATGGAGATATGCAATTAATGTTGATGTGTTCGATTAATACTATTATTGTTTTGAAATCTAATAGATGATAATAAATAAATTCAAAACAATTAAGTTTTGATTTGTAATCTAATAGATCACAAATATAATTAAAATTAAACAATTATAATTACATAAATTATAAAATAATTTCAGTAAAAAAAAGTTGAGTTATGGATATATTATAACTAATAATATAGGAGTACATAAAAATAAAATTATGAAATTATGATCAACAACACAATAAATTTAAAATATTATTTACATATATATATTTTTTTCATTTTAGAAGGTAAATATTAGCTCAATAAATTTTTAAATTTAATATTTTAATTATCTATGAAAAGAATATTTGATATTTTTCTTCTCAAATCGATGTCTTTTAAATTGGCAAAATAAGTTTTTTTATTATAATAATAAATAGAATTAAATAATATATGTATAAGAAATTACCGATTTTATAGAAAGCAAGTTATTAGATATTTTTATATCTAATGATCCATATTAACTAGTTTTTCATTTCTACACAATAGTCTTAACCGGAAAAAAAGTTGCATTTAATGGCAGAAACGTCGCGATTGGTTATTTAGTTGCGCTGCTTCTTTGTTCATTGGTTCATTTGGTCTTGTTGAGTAAGATTGGTCTCTTTTTTTGCTTTTAACTTTCCTTATGTGCTAAATAAAAGAAAAATAGAAGAAACCGTTCTGATTTGGCGGCAATTAAATTAATTACTAATTAGAATGAGAGGGAATATTTTGAAAAAATAATATAAAATCTGGGCACTTCTGCAATTTCGTAAAAGTTTTACATGCGCGGTAGAGGCTTGAGAGCAGTGGAAGTGGACCTGGGGACTCGTGTGAAGTATTACGAAACAGTTAATCGGACGCCATAGGCCATATAGTATACGCTCTTTTATTATCACATTCACCTCTGATAAAGTTCTCTCTTTTTGCTCCTTTTCATCGTTCCGTCTGCTCTAGCCGAAGGAAACCCTAGCCTTTTGTACTTCGATTTAGCATTCAGTAAGCAATGGGCTCCGAAGGATCAAGAGTTGTTGGTAAGTGAATCTCGAAGGAAACACCCTAGATTTTTCATTTCTGTGATTTGTAATTTTAGTTGACTTTTGTGTTTCAGCATTCTGTAAGTGATTGCGTTTGTTCACTGTAGTGATGGTTGAGTTTCTTTCGCTGGATTTTGTAGAAAATTAGTTGATTTTTTATTCTTAATTGGGAAATAGTTACTGATATGAACTGTAGGGAGCTTTCGGTAGTGAACTCTCGGTGGTTAATGAAATTAGTTATGGAAATTTTGTTTTTTATGCTATGGGTTAAAACATTGGAGAATTGTGTACATGGATGAACTAGTCTCCGAAGAAATGAAAATAGGAATATTATATAAATGAAGGAAGGGAATTTTTTTTTCCAATTTTTTGTAGTTTGAAGTTTGAAACTTGATTGAAATCTGTCCTGCCAATTAATTGTCTTGTGGGATTGATTCATTGAGCCGGTGGATCATGTATCATCCTTTCTTGCAATGTGCAACCTGTGAAATGATCGAAGGTGTAGATATTAAATAAACTTATAGACAGCTCATGTTTAGGACTTATTTATCTTTTAGTATATGATTGTAATGTTAGAATGATTGGAAGTGCTTCAGCCAAGTGTGCTTGGTTGCTCTGGCCATTGGAAGTACTAATCTCCCAAGCTGTGCTGGGACCACAAGTCAAAGAATTAGCCGGTAACTCATAGAGAGTGGCTGGGTTATGGGAACCATGGGTTGAAGACCTCTCTCATGGTAACTTATTAACGTCTCACTATTTTGGTGAGGAAAAAGTTTGAAATCATTTAACTCGTGATTAAAGTATTTCCTTCTTTTTCTTATGTATTATCCTCTCTTCAATGGAATTATATTCTTATCTTGTGTATTTAATGCGGTTGGTTGGTGCATTTATATTCTCCAAAATAAATTATATCAAGGTATGAGCTTGGGTAGCTCATTTAGATTATATTTTATCAAGCCACAATGTTTAGTTAACACTAAATTGAGAATTCCTAATGCAAATAATTCTTTAAGTATTTTTTTTAAGTTTAGTAATCATGGTTATCCCCTTCACAATTTTTTTACAAAATGTATTTAAAATTTTTCTGGCCTATACTTTGTTTGCATTGATATTAATTTAATCAGAGCGGATATTGGAAACAAAAGATTTGTATAGCCGACCCCAACTAGTTTGGAAATAAGGCTTAGATGTTGTTGTAGTAAGCATGGTTATCACTGTGTTTCCTAAGTTATTTTGTCTATGAAGTCTTTGAAGTATGGGCTATTATTTGGTATGCAATATTTTTGTTCATGACGTCGATAATGTTTTCAAAGACTAATTAAACTTTGATACTCAGCTCAACTTTAAGAATACCAAATTAAGAATTAAGATCAATTTCCTTTTATCTAGTTTACCATTGTTAGAGCCATATTCTTTGTGAAATAATGTAACTAATAAATAAATAAATGCCAAAACTACAATCTAAGTTTACCATTACATGTTGGAGATCTGGCAAGTTGCTGAAAGTTGTAAAACTATCAAATGAGCTGCCTTTGTTTCTGGATCAGAATGAACGGCATGCTGTTTTCTGTGTAAGTGCATATATCACTTCTTTTGCGTCTGGGGGTGACCAATATTCTTGTGTTGTAAGAACACAGAAGGTTTGTGCTTTTTACCACCATGACATTTAGTTCTTTAGTATCCCCACAATACTAGATCTTCAAGAAATGAAAGCTGCAATATCTACAATCTTCTATGCTTTTCTCGTAAGCTTCTTTTTATCTCAATCTGGTATTTATTTGAGTGTTTAGAACTTTATTTGTGCATTTAATTGGGATGAATTTCATAGAGTTGATTCTTGGTATGGTTCATACGGCCTGAGGAAAATAGAGTAGATTTGTCTTGTGTCAGCAATTTTTTAACTTGTTCCTCGTACATAGGATTACTTCTTGTTATTGTTGGAGAATTCCTAGGATGTGTATGCTTGAGGTATGATTATATGGCTGACTTTTTTCATCAATTGTAGTGCCTAGGAATTTCAGATTACTGGAAGAGCTTGAGAGAGGGGAGAAAGGAATCGGAGGTGGAACTGTTAGCTATGGAATGGATGATGCTGATGATATCTACATGCAATCATGGACGGGAACTATAATTGGGCCCCCAAATGTATGAAGTCTTTTTTGTCACCTTCGTTTTTGTAGTCTCAGTTTGGTTGTGCATGCTTGTGCACTAGCAGCTTATGAACTTGTTTCGGAAGTCAAATTGATAACTACAATGGCAAACTATGATTTATGCTTTCAACTCTTTTTCTTACAAATTGATTGATTACCCTGGCAACTAATATTAGGGGTCAAGCCTTGCTGGATGAGTGAAGTATCCTTCTCATGTTCAAATATGTATCTGGTTACTGCATAAATTAAAAATTACTTATCCTTCATTCTCATTGTATCACGTTGATCCATTCATAAAACTGCTGAACTCCTGAACCCTTTTCAGGTCAAGACATGCATATCTACTTGTGTAGACTCACTTGTTCTCAGTTATAGCATTATCAAAGAAATCATCCCAATAGGGGAACAGCCGTTCTTGACTAAACATGGCAAATTTCCATCCATAGATTGTGTCAATGACTTGTTGGAATCCATTGGATGTGTCCTCTCATAATTGCTATGCTTGATTTTCATCTTTTTTCCGGAAGAATAATACTGTATTTACTTGCGGTGCTTACCAGACTGTGCATGAGGGTCGTATCTACCAGTTGAAGTTGTTTTGTGGAAAGGATTATCCAGATAATCCACCAAGTGTAAGGTTCCAAACTCGGATAAACATGACCTGTGTCAATCCTGAAACTGGAGTGGTAAGAAATGTTATTTTACTGTTCTTTTATGCTGTAATTGTGATTGGCATGAAATTAGGCTTATGGTTGACTAAATTAACAGGTCGAACCTAGTCTTTTCCCGATGCTTGCTAACTGGCAGAGAGAGTGCACGATGGAGGACATATTGACTCAACTGAAGAAAGAAATGATGTCACCACAAAACCGGAAGCTTGTGCAGCCTCCTGAAGGTTTGTCAATGTTTCTGCCTTGCTACTGTTATTTATGCTTTCTATTTGTTGTTGATTTTCTAAACAAGCATGATAGGTTAACTTAGAGACGCAAAGTGGAGACTTAAGGAATTACTAGTCAGATGAATATAAGTTGGACCATTTTATCAGTGGGCATTTCAAGGATGATTAATCCTCTGGAGTCTTGAGGGTCAAATTGGTTGAAGTTAACTGATAGGAATGGTTGTTAGATAGATGCTTCAATGTGAAATTGTAATGAGAAAGTGTACAGAAGAAATTTCTTCTTTGATTGGAGTCATTACATTAGCTAGTAGGGAAAGTAGGGGGTAGCACTGTTCGGTTTAGATAATTTTTTGTCATTTGAACTATGGATATCAATTAACAATTTGGTTAGGTAATTGGTTTTTCACGTTTATCAATTGCTCAGATTCATTTTCTTTCAAAACAACTCTTTTCTGTTTCAAATAAGATTTTTCATGGAGAAGCGGCAGATTCCTATTACCCCATGAGTGAAATTGTAGGACATAGAGCCATAAACATCTTTCTGTTACTACACATGATTATGTTGCTCTGACAGTTTCATGAATGTATTTCTGGATGTGTAATCAAATGAAGTTGCAATTGCAGGAAATGAGGAGGCAAGGATGGATCAAAAAGGGTTAGTGCTAAAGTGCTGTATTCTCTAAGTTATTTGAAAATTGTATGAACAAGAAATTGTATATAGATAAGTACACTCTTCCTCCCACCGGCTTTAGCTCCTGAAATATATAATCTTGTGTATGAGAAAGATGACCTTTAATTCCAGCACATGGTGGCTAAATAAATTAAAACTCAATGAACTGTGAACTCTTTCACTGTTTGATATTTGCTTGTGCTAATGGTAATACCTGTAAATGAGCATGCTCTTCATTTTTATATTTTTTAAATCCTTGTATGCATTTATTTGCTAGTGCTTTCGGAATTGATTCTATACAGTTCACAGATTCTATACCCTTTGCATTATTTGTTGTGGTTTAATCATATCATGCAATTTTTTAGTGTTTGTGTTGCACTGAAAGGAAATGCAATAACTTGTAGTGTTTGTTTTTCTCATAACAAATAAATAAATGTTTGGTAAAACATTTCAAAATTGTGCGTGATCTCATTTCGGTATCTTGAATTTTTAGGCTCTATTTGACAAAACCGTAATGGATGTTAATGTAGTGAAAGATATTTTTAGTATAAGATTCACACAAGAAATGGTCGAATGCATTTAGGCACATGAATCGTACACAAAGTCATTTGAACATTTAATTTTGTTTGTATTTATTCAATGTGTCAATTTTCGTTATACTTATTTTGTATAACGTATTGGAGATAAACCATATATCATTTTTCAATTATTATATATATCTATATATGATGCAATTGAAGTTATCTGAGTTTTTGAAAATGACTTATGTCCAAACAAATTAAGTTCTAGTTGAAGAATTCAAAATCATAAAGATTGTAGTACTTATTTTCTTCGCATCCTGTGTTAATTGAAACTGAATTAATATTTCTATTGAAATATCCATATAATTACTGTATTTATGTTGAAAAATTGTTGTTTATGAAAGATTGAAAATGACTCAGATGGGATTAATACTCATTTGTGCTAAATTAATAAAATTGATAATTTTGAAAATTTTTTCTTCATTATTAAAAAACTTATTACTCTTATCTGAGAATATCCAATTTGTTCATAAAAAAAAAAAAATTTTGTTAAAAAATGCGTAATGTTAATCACGTGGGGAAAATTAAAGCCGTTAGAGAAGAATGGAGGTGATATTAACAAGGTTAGGGGAGTGGCGTAAAAGGCTTATTAATAAAATGAAAAGTAGGTGTTTGTTTATGCAAAGCAAAAGCAATTCTTTCTTTGCTTTGCATTCACATTCCATGTCGCAACCGACTTTCCTTTCTCCGCTAATTCTCTACTTTATGCCGTTTCTTTCTTTCTAATTCCTAACAGCTTTTCTTTTCTATTAGAACTTACCAACTTTCTTTTCTAAAAGACAAAATAATTCTCATCCTTTTCATAATCAATTCTTCTTATATTAATTAACATTTCCCCTATAATAACTTTATTTAAGCCTTTTCCTTTTTCAGCTAATTATTTTTTACAATATTTTAAATAAAATATTCTTTTCAATAAATATTACCATTACAAATTTTATTTTAAAAACCATCCATAAATTAAACTTTGAAACCACCACACCAATTTCCATTGCAAAATTAAAATAGACTCATTTCAGGTATTTTAATTTTGTTATATTATTTGATTTAATAGTGTGATAATATCGAGGGCATGGATGCCTTCATGCAACTGAAAAGAATCCCCTTGTTCACCGTCATTATGAAAAGATAAAACAAAATTAAGTACCAAAAAGGGGAAAAAAAAAAAACACAAAAACAAATTTGATAGGGCAACCGAAAGTTCCTATGGTAGTAGAATGCAAATTGCAGTCATTTATAGTACAATCTTTTCAAGTTTCCTAAACTCACCACAAACAGAACAAACAAGTTTTTATTTTCAGAAATTGCATATCACAGCTGTTCCCTTTTTTTTAAACGTAGAGATTTGGTTTTTGTGATCGCAAAGGCCAAAGCAGCACAGCGGACGATACATTACCGGAAACAAGATGAACAGAAACTTCCTTCATCCAAAAAAGTTAAACTTTTTTGTTTGTCACGAAGAGAAAAAAAAAATTACCGTTTTACCATCTGTTAAAATATTTAACTTCGTTATTATTGAAAATGAGAGCTTTTTCAATCTGTGAATAGTCATGTTATGTATGCATTATTTATAGCGCTTATTCAGCCAACTATTTTAAAAATCTACATATTTTATAAAGTTCACATTTAGAATTTCTAATAAAATAACTCTAACTCTAATTGAAGCAAGCAATTTCACTAAAGCATTTGAAACTAAAAGTTTATTTAAAAAAAAAAACTAATTAGTTATTTTTCAATTTAAAGAATTTAAAAAAAAAAGGAAAAAAAAAAGTTTTATCCATTACCCAACTGGTTTAGTAATTAGAATTATCCAAAAAAAAAAGAAAATAAAAAAAAAGGGCGCCTTTGATACACGTGTCTACTTCATCTTATAAGTAGCAGTTATGTTTCAATCAGCAAACCGTATGTTAAGAAAAAATCATCCAAATCACATCACTCTCCTCTTTCAAGATTCTTTCGGCCATTATTTTCCGTTTTTCTCCTTTCAAATTAATTTTCTCTCCAGCCAAACACAATCACCTCTCCATCTCTCTCTTTGCCTAACCTTCCAAATGGCTTCCCCTCCCATAACAAACGACAAGCAACAAAATGGTATGTACATCAGTACATGTATATAACTTTTTAAAATCCTTTTTTCTCTTTCAACAAAAAATTTTAAAAAAAAGTTCACAAGGAAATAAGAATTTGCTGGTTTTATTTGTTGTAGTAAAATTTGTACCAAGTGAGCACAACGTTCTGCAAAAGCATGTCCTCTTCTTCGATAGGAATCAAGACGGCGTCGTTTATCCATGGGAAACTTTTCAAGGTACGCAGTATATGTGTTTTTTTTTTTTTTTTTTGGTCAGTGTTATGTTGGGATTCAGTTTATTTTTATGTTTTATGCGCTTATCATGGGGCCAACTTATTGTAAAAAATCTAATATTTGATAAAGTTTCACTATGTTTAGTAGAATTTTCGGTAATAAAATAAGCTCTTAACCTAAATTGGATAGCAAGCGCATTTCTTATTCTTAAGTAGCATGGTGAAACTAAATAGTTTATTTAAAAAAAAAAAACTAATTATTATTTTTTCAATTTTAATAGGAAGTTTTAATAAATAAAATATCCGAAATAAAAAATAAGGTTTTATAGTCATTTATCGGTTCAACTGGTTTAATGTAAATTAGAATTATCCAAAAAACAAAGAAAATTATAAAGAAAAGGGCGCCTTTGATACAACTGTCTAGCTTCATCTATAATAGCAGTGTTTAGTTGTTCCGAATTCAGGCTAAACCGTGATTGGTTATAGATAATGTATTCACGTCAAATCTACGTATCACTTCCGCCTCTTTGTCAATAGTTCTTGTCGGCCATTATTTTTTTTCCGTTTTTCTCTCTTTGCAAATTAATTTGTCTTCTCTCTTATGTTTTGTTTTTTTTTGTTGGGTGTTTGGGGTTTTGTTGTTTTTTTGTTTGTGTTGTTTTTGTTGTTTTTTTTTGTGTTTGGTTTTGTGCTCATTATACAGATTTTTTTTTATCACCTCGCCATTCTCTTCTTGCCAACCTTTCCAATATATGGCTTCCCTGCTCATATACAAGAGGCGAGAAGCAACAAAATGGTGTATGTAACATTCATTAATCAGTGTTATTATTATACTTTTTTAATATATCCTTTTTTCTTTCAAGTTCAAAAAAGTTAAAAAAAAAGTCACAAGTAGTAATTTTAAGTAATTTTGTCTGGTTTTTTATTTGTGTGTTAGGTTAAAATTTTGTTACCAATTGTAAGCAATCGAAACGTTCCTTGCAAATAGCATTGTGTTCCTCGTTGTCTTGCGCAATATGTTGTTAAGCAATGACGGCGTGTGTATTTCCTATGTGGGAAACTTTTCAAAAAGTACGCAAGTATATGTGTTTTTTGTTTTTTTTTTTTTAATATAATTGTATAATGATTTCATTTCAAAATTTCGTTTTGACTCTGTTTTAAACTGAAAATTGTTTTTGGTGCCGCGGACATGGTTTTTCGGGTGCTAATCGGGTGTGTGAATACTGGTTTTCCCTGTGCAGTTGGGCTGGTTGTTTTTTCATTAGATTCCATGGCGTCGGAGTCCAGAAAACTCGCGCCGTGACGTATCTCTTCTTTAATGTTTTTGTGACTTCCATTATATGAACGTTAGTTATCTTACAATTCCGATACAATAATGCATTATATATTAGTTGTTGTGATATTATATTTATATATATTATATTGTAATAGGTGACAGAAGTCTAAGGTAATGTTTTTGTCTTTTCTTTGGGGGTGTTGGGTGTATATTAGGTATAATGGTGTAGTTATTGTTTATGAAATCTGTTTGTTAAGTTAAAATATTAGTGTATTTTAGATTTTATTTTTTTTTTTTTTTTTTAATATATATAATTATTTTCATTTTTCAAATTTTCGTTTTGATCTGTTTAAACTGAAAATTGTTTTGGCGAACAGGTTTTCGTGCAATCGGGTGTGGAATACTGTTTTCCCTTGCCAGTGCTGTTTTCATTAACATTGGCCTGAGCCAGAAAACTCGCCCTGTACTATTTCTCTCTTTATGTTTTTACTCCTTTAATCACTTATTATTAAAATTCTGATACAAATCATTATAATATGATAAAATAAATTAAGTAAACGACAGAAGTCAAGTAGGTCTTTCTTTTTTGGGGGGTGGGGGTGTATATTAGGATAAGTTAGTATTAGAAACTTTGTTAATTAAAATATTAGTTCACTTTAATTTTAAAAACCTAATTAATAAGTTAATCACGTGTTGCTTTGTACGTATGTAGTATTGGGAGGTAACTTTGTTAATTAAAATATTAATTTATTTTAATTTTAAAATCCTAATTTATAAGTTAATGGTGTGTTGCTTAGCTGGTAACTTTAACTTTCATGGAAAGTTGAAGTCTTAAAGTTTGAGTTGTTTCCATTAAAATCATTTGATTATTAGATAATGAAGGTGTTGTTAGGGAAAGGATAAGCTTTCCTAATTGTGAATGCAACGCAAGGCCATTAACATCCGCTAAATGTTATAAGGAGGATGATTCCTTTTTTTTTTAGAGGAAAGGAAGATGATTCATAGTAATGTTTGGAATAAGTAAATTGAGGAAGTGTTTTTTCAGAAAAGTGCATAAAATATTTATATTTGGTTTCCATTATCAGTTTTAGTTCTCGAGAAATAATCATTCAACTTGTCTTGTAGTAGGGAAGGGAGTTTTTTAAAATTAGCTGTATTTTTTTAGTTGAGGATATATATTTATCAATTTGTCATATTATTTAAATATATTTAAATTTATGTTATAAATATTATTGTCTTTTGTAAATTATTTTTCAGAAAATTATTAATCACATTTAAATTATACTTTCTAAAAAATAATTTAAAATGCATCATAAAAATATATTTTTCAAAAAATAGATTATTTTGAACTAAATATGTCTTAGTTTGGAAAGAAGAAAATTTTCGGTATGTACAACTTCTACAGAGACACGTGTGGTCATGTTATCTTCATTAGTGGCAAGTGTTTGGCAACAGTTACTATCAACTCTGTCTTTTGCTCTGCTTGACAGATAATAAATTTATATTTTAAGTGAAAAATAATAAAAACCAGTATATTGTTAATTATTCTTGCAACTATAATTATATAAGTAAATATATTCTTTAATTTTTTTTTTCTCTCAATATGTAGTTTCTTATATGATTATCAATAATATCATACGTAAGAAGAGTATAATTCGTTTCGTTTAAGCATTTATTTTAGCTGACTAATATTAAGATCGGCTTTACAATTATGAAATATATATTGATCGATTGAATTTTGATAAATTACAGGGGAAGACTCCTTCTCTGTTATTTCCTATTGAGATTAAGAACATTCATAAAGGCAAGCATGGAAGCGATTCTGGTGTTTATAGCAGGGAAGGAAGGTATATAATCTATTCCTTCAACTACTATCACATTTATTCTTTATTTCCTCCCAAACTTCTTGACAGCTAAACACCATGAAGAATCTTTCCTTTTCATTAAATATCTGAAAATCATTTTAATACGAATGCTTTCTGACATGGTTTCTATTGTTTCAAAGAAAAGAAAAGAAAAGAGATTCTACAATTTCAGTTTTTTAAAATGAAAAATTCTAAAATAATAATCGAGTGTTTATTTAACTTTTTGTAGCTTTATTAACGAGAAGTTCGAAGAAATTTTCCGCAAGCACGCCCGTTCACACAAAGATGCCCTAACATCAAGCGAGTTGATGCGAATGCTAAGAGAAAACAGAGAGCCTAAAGATTATGCGGGATGGTCAGTTTCTGATTTTTTTTTTTAAAATTAATCTTATTTTCTTTGTATGCTGGAAATTAATTAATTAATTAATTACTACAGGATTGCGAGCTGGACAGAGTGGAAAACACTGTACATGCTATGTAAGGATAGTGATGGATTGCTTAGTAAAGAGACAATCAGAGCTGCTTATGATGGAAGTCTATTTGAACACTTGGAGAAGCAAAAGCAATCGGCTAAAAAGAAAGCGTAATTTGTTTTATTTCATTTAACTATAAATAATGGCTCTAATTAGCTTTGCCCTTTTTGGTATTTTCTCCCTTTTTTTCTATATATTTAGAAATGGAGAAATTTAACTATTGAAATAAAGGGAATGTCTTGTTTTATTTATTTATTTATTTATTTATTTTTATTTTTAATATGCAGTGTTATCTGAAAACGGCAGTGGTAGAATGGAATTTCTGATTGGCTGCAGTTGATGGATGTTCTAGAGTGCTGATTGTAAAATTAATTGATATTTGTGTGTTTATTGTATTATAGAAATATTTTAAAATTAATTGCAAAATTTATTATTATTATTATTATTATTATTATTATTATGTGCTTGTTTACAGCAGCACATGAGAATTTAGGGGACCGAAAAATAAAAACAGAACTTCTAGGGGCTGAATCTGTATATTTTAAAAAATATTATGAGTACAAGAATAGAATACACACGTCTTCTTGGCAAGTATAATCTATATTGGGGAAGAATCAGAGATAAATTACAGTTAAATGAAAAATATAACAGGAAAAAGAGCAAAACTGAAGATTTATCAACATTTGACATATCCCCAAATGCACTTCTTCTGAATCAATTGAGCGGTTCACTAATCTGAAGAAGTTCATTACAGAGCCCTGTGAAGACAGAGGAATCGGTTTCAAGAGGTCTGAACTTGATGAGAGCCGAAGGAACCAAATCCTCATCCTCTAACGTAGAGGCTCTCTGTCCTGCTTCAGGGAAATGAGGGATTACTCGCCTTTTGACCAGAACTGGATCTAACAGCTCAAACTCCAAACTTGGATCTTTCAATGATGAGCTCACAAACTGAAAATAAAAGACAAAGTTGAATCATAAAGAAGAATTTGCATACACTGACATGAGTTTAAACATATACACAAATATTCTAGTTATAGGCAACCAAACATCCAAAACACAAGACGAAAGAAGACACGACTCACATTCATAATCTCTTATCCCAAGTAAATAGGAAACTACACAATAAAAAAAACAGCATTAAATTGAATAAAGTTAATTCAGGGATCACTACCAGCGCCACTTGATTGCAATTGGAAGAAGCAATGGTTCACTTTGATACCAATTGTTTTGACTTCGGGAAAACCATATCCCACAAGCTAGCAATTGAATTGGAGAACCAAGTTCATATAAATCCTACATTGAGTTTTCATACTTCCAATGTGGGATCCAAGACAAGGTATGGTTTTCTTGCAACTATGATCTAACACCATCCAAATCTAAAGAAAAGATTGATCGTAAAACAAGGGAAAAAGAATTCAATACCATCACAACTACAATGCCATAGTCCAATAAACATATCCTGCCAGAACCTAGGAAGAAAAATTCGGCGTGGGTCCAAAAGACAGTAAAATAACATCAATATGGCATCCAATCTGAATAGAAAATATCCCACTGAAACCCAGGACAAGAAATTGCAAGTTCATTAATAGCAAACAAATTTGAAATGATAAAAGAATTTTATATGACGAGTTCAGTTATCTTTCATTCAACTTCAGCTAACTAGACCTTGCAAGAGTGCGAAACCAAAAGGTCCCCCACCATCACCAGACCTAGTGCCCCTCTTACAGCTAGCTGAATTATGTAACAAAATCTCATCATAGGGTTGTTGACAGCATATTACATGCATAATGAAGAGGTCATCAACTTTTAGCAACCACCATGGTGCTTATACTTTTTATTCCCAAGCACGAGTAGAATTTAAACAACTAAGCCATTTATAGAATTATCTAAAGAACTCACCTCGTAGAGAGCAGTAGTTTGCTCCCAAGGAGCAAAGACACCCTGAAGAACCACTCCGTCAGGAAATTGAATACGTATAAGGGTCCTTTTGTATCTCTTCCTGGCAGCTTTTGCCTGCTTTTCTCTGTAAGACTTAGGGATCAAAAGCTGCGATTCTGCAATCTTTTTCTTCCTTGCATCTGCTTCTCTTTTCACCTCATCAATAGACAGATAGTAAAATGAATCCGGTAACTCAATTTTTGCTGCTACGCTTTCAGGGACGGAAAAGAAGACTCGGATCTAGCGGCCAAATGAGTGGATTAGAATGCCATATAGGCTGTTAGAACATAATAAAAAAAAAAAAAATCATGCCAAGGGAGCACAAATAGATAATTCAGGATAGCCAGAGGAAGATCAGCTTCAATGATCAAAAAGAAAGGGCCACAAGAAACAGCTTAGCTGTTTATCATAATTCTACTTAAAATGGTTAAATATCATTTCTTAAGTAGAAATTTTATTAATAAACAATCATATTCATCTCAAGAAATTAAAATTTTGAGAACAAGGGACAAGACCTTGAAAGAAAAGAATAGTTAATCCATACCCTCGTCCTTTTCCACACCCTTCCCCAAAACAAACACAGAGAATTTCCTTATATCTTCATAAGGTCAAGTTAATTGACTCGGCAAATCTTACATGTGATTCAAACTTGTAGGCTTCTGCATTGCATAAACTTCTAACACCATTCACATAAGAATCAGCCATATCAACGGACTAAATTAAATTGAAGACATGAAGTGCCACAGCAATGTGCATTCTCCATTGGCAACTTTTGAGTCATGTTTAACTTACAAATATATGTCATACTTTTTTCATTACTAAAATTTGTTGTAATGTTTACTCAAACACTAACTTAACAAATACCTCATATAATTTCCGCAAAGCACAAGTCATGGTAAAATATTATAATTACCACAAACTAATGGTAATTTTTTGACTTTCATTAATCAAACACTGGCAATGATTTCACGTACCTGCCTGTCAATCTTCTTTGGCTCAACCTGCTCCTTTGTCCCAGCTGAAGCAACAGAAGGCTTATCCTGTATCTTTGACGCCTCATCCTTTACCGGCTTAGGTTCTAACAACTCAATCACCTTATTGATCAATCTAATCCTCTCCTCATCAGGCACCTCCAAAACTGCCCACATTTCTCCACCATCTTCCTTCAACTCAAACCCAACAAATTCCAACAGTTCAATCCCTCCTGCAACCTCAGTAATAGCTTCCCTGATCTTTGGGTTTCCCATTCTAATCTTCCTAAATTTTGCATTATCTGGTTCCTTGACAATATTTGTAAACAGTCTAAGCACAACTTGAACAGACCCATCTGGTGTCTTCCCTGATAAATATGCATCAACGACAGAAGCCTGTAATTCACTTTTACCACTTGATTCTACCAGCTCATTTTCTCCATCAACTACACCATTGTTAACATTATTATTATTGTTATTTACACAACTTTCAACATGAATAGACACATCTCCTTCAGATCTAAATGACTGGCCACAAATTGGGCATTCAAACGTATTAAGTGAATAACCATTTTGAGATCTTTTACCTGTGGTAATCAACGAGTCAAATGGATCAAACCCACCTCCGGAATTTCGATTTGGAGTCGGGTTATTAACCGAATCAGGTTTGATTTGTTCAAAGTTGGTTGTTTTTTGAGGCAAAGGTTTGCAATTTGAAGTAGAATTGAGCGAAGGAGGGTCTGGAGTTGGTTTTGGATTAACAGGCTGAGAATAACGAGTATGAATCGGGTTAACGGGTCCTGAAGAAGAAGAGGAACCCGAACCACCACCCAAGACTCGACCTTGGCCTTTGAACTTACCAGAAGAAGAAGATTGTAATTGGGTATTCACTTTCTTCATGAAACCCTTGAACTTGTCTTTCATATCACCCATTTTTTTCTTGTATTTGAGAGCTTCTAATTACAAAATCAATAGCCCGTAAATAAAAATTCGGCTAATTTGTTCTGTGTGGAATAATTACACAAATTAATGGAAAGAAATTCAGTTAAACAAGTGAGTGGATAAGGAATTAGAGGTTTTTGAGTTGGAGAAGGTTTCTTTATATGCTAAGTAATTGAATTTTCAAAAAAAACAAAAATGAAAGGGCAAAAAATATAATTAAATATATAACGACCCAAAGCAGAAGCGGAGAATTTGGAGGAAAAACTGGCAGGGAGGTTGACTTTGGAATTGTAAGCTGGAACGGAATTATTACTTGGCAAGAGCTTTTCTGGCGAGTGCCGCTGTTCGTATCTGTTCCCATTGATTTTACGCGGTGCTTTGTCAAGCAGACCATCAAGATTATGCCACGTCAATTGTCCGGGCCCGGTATATCAGTGGGCTCCTATCCGACGAGAAACAGTTCCAACGCGTGGGGTTTGGGCAAGGGAGTAATTATACATTATGAGACTTGAGTGAGAATGTTTCAGGTCGTTTGCAATTGACAGAGAAACATGCCGTCTCTACTGGACGGCAAAATGTTTTCCTAAAGCGTCTACTTCGGGTTTTAAAAAAATTACAGGTAGTAAAAAGTTCCACTATAGCGGTTAAATCAAGGTTATCCTTATCGTTTTAATTAAGAGTAAATTATTTATGAGTCCTCCGAATATACTTAACTGAAATTTTATTTTCAGAATTAGTTATATAATTCATTATATTACTTAATTTTTCTATTAAATTTGGTTTACTGATGAAAATTAAATAGTATGATGGGATAAAATTGAGGAACTATATAATTAAATAATAAAAATAGAAAATTTTGACTAGCGTGTTATGCTGATCAGATCATGGTTATCAAGAAGAAAAAGAATTTGAGGGGAAAACATTGTCTTCCATATTGAGTATTATCTGTATAATCTGTATAAAAGAAAAACATATCTAAGCGCTACTACTTATACTATATACAGTATGGTGTTCCCTCGTCACAATAGATTATATAACCAAGTCTATAACTCACGTGTAAGTCAGAACTGTAACTAACTCTCATTTGATATTTGGGCTGGGATTAATAATTTAGATTTGGGCCTGTTAATTAAAAACCCAACTCTTTCTCCTTGTATCCAAAATAAACCCTAATCAGGTTCAGATACTAAATAGTAATTCATTTTTTAATGGATTTTACATGCTGCATAGCTGGTGTGTACATTTACTACCTAATGTAATAAACCTGAGAGACTATATAATCAAATTTTTTAAAATAGGAATTTGAATATACTCAGAAAGTAAATGGTAATTCACCCTTTAACACATGAATCCTATTACAAATACAATTGCACCTTATTTTCAACCGAAAATGTAACTAGGATTAGGGTTAATATTTAAAAAATAATTTCACTTGGGACTCACGCCTGTGATTAGTTTAAACTCAGTTAATCCCATAAAAAACGGTCATCAAAACTGTGTTGTTTTCCTTGAAGAAAATATTCCCAAAAATTTAATATTCTATAAAGCATAAAATTTTATTTTAAAACATAAAAACCAACTTTGAAGAGCATCGAATCTGCTCATGCTACGGATAAATTGGCTGTGTTTGACACAACTCAAAGCATAGGTATTCGATTTTATTTACTTTCTTTTGTTTTTTCCCTCCCCCTTCTCGTTGGCAATAGCTTTGAGTCCATTTATATGAACGTCTTCGGTTATTCAGTTTAACTAAATTCATCCACATGATAGACAGATTCAAGTCAGACTACTTTCGTCCCCAACTCTTTTTTAAACAAATGCAATTTATTGAGTCCCTGACCGTCTACATGAAAAGAGGATTCGAACAGCCTTCATGGCCAAACAGTTGAATTCCCCCCCAAAAACTACTCTCTCCATCAAGAAGTCCAACCTCCCACCCCTCAAATTACAATTCTCCCAGTACCCTCCTTACACAAGGAGAGAGGGCTTCACTGCTATATGAGGAATAAGAGGTCAAAGAAAAGAGTTTTGTAATAACACCAAGTTGAAGGCTTTTCAGAATGATGGCTGTCATAGTGGAGAAGATTTGTAGAGACTAGACAGACAACTGTTTAAAGATTAGTTTTTTATCATTTCAATTTTATTGCCAATGTTCTTCTGTCCCTCTTTCTCCTTTTTAAGTATAAGCATTCGAAATTATTTAACAAATTGCAAAATTTGGCAAGCATTTAGTAAAACATACACATGAATCCCTTATTATTTATCCTAAAATCATTGAGAAGGTCACATAACTTTTAATTGCATTGCACTTTAGCCCTTCTGCTTAAATATCAAAATTTTACACAATTTTTTCTGACGGAGTACCTGGTTTAGATCAACCAATACTGGAACTGCTAGAGCTGTTCCATTTAACCCTAGAATAAAAAAATCATATAACTCCTTGATATTATTTCCAATATTCTCACGTCTATTCAAGAACACACAAAGCTGCCCATTAGCAATTAAATCTCTGCGGGTTCAAGCTTCTTCAAATAGCAAATGAATGCTCATAACTCATTTTGCTCAATAGCTGATCCCAATTTGTAACCAATTCCATAGACTCTATTCACTAAAGCAAAAATATAGTTACATCCAAGCTAAAATTAACTGATTGTTCAGAAGCTAGAGATTCCTTGACAATACTCAGTGGAAGAGCTAATATTCCAATTGATCCCTCCCTTATTGAAAAATAAACCAAGCAGCAAAACTGATTCACACATAAAATTTATTGCTCATTTAACTACCCTATTCACAGCTCATTGCAGGAATGTATAGAAACAGTATTACAAAAACTTCCCAATAATGATCAATTCTCAATCAAATTAGCATTTTCATAAACACAGCTCTGAATTTTAATCAAAATGAGAAATCACAAGAAACATACAAAAAGCTTCGAAGTGATTAAAAGGGCTTTCATATTAAGATCAACATCCAAACACAACATAGTGCCCTACACTAGTACCGTCAAGATTTCAGATAACCGTGAAATATCATAATAAATAACACAAAATTCAAACAACAAATCCACTTATCTCAAATTGACAATTCATTGTCACATGATCAATCCTTGTTCTTGAGCCTCTCGATACGCTGATTCAACTGCTCGATCTTGACCACTAGATTTGTAACTGAATAAAGCAACCAGTAAAAGACAAGTGCCGTTGCAATTAGAAGCGCGTTCCTCTGACTCTTCATGATGGATTTCTGGTGGCGGAGGTGCTCAGACGGCGTGCAGGAATCTGCCTCGCAGCTCGGGCGCGTCTCGTATTTCCAGTAAATATCCATAAGAAGGAACAGACAAAACGGCACCACCGACAGGAACGGCTTGAGGAGATTACGAGTGACAGCGATCAGTCCCCTACGGAGTCCATCGAGGCCTGGGATCGTAAGGAGAAGGACCATGATCGCTTCTGCGCCGGCAGCGTAGCCAAGGACAACCCACTCAAGTGCCATTTTCAATAGAATATGAAAATTGGAAACCCTAGATCCAAGTCTGAACTTTGAAGCCTTGTTTTGAACTTTCTTTTCCTTCCTTACTCAGGAGAAGAATCTTAGCTGATAGAAAATCGTTCGTTAAAGGGCGTGAAAAATCGATTAGCTGCAAAAGATAATACGTGTCAGAAGGATCAACGACGGACATTGCTGACTCCGCAAGAAGTATAGTATTGCTGGGCCAGATTTGAGCTGGCCCAAGTAACTTTAGGCTTTTATATTATTGTACAATTGTACTCTAGCCCAGGTTGTCAAAATTTACTGGACCACCTAATCCAGCAATCGCAATTGGGGCCGATGAAGCCCAATCTTGTCCTATGTAACCCAATCTGATGAAGACTATAGAATAGACAAGATGTCTTTCAGAATATGCTCGCCAACCTTTTCCTTATTGATTTTTCTTTGTGGCAATCATCTCATTCTCATTTATCTTCGAACCAAGAGGAATATCACTGGAACCTTCGTGCATATACATACATATATACCACTTTATTATAAAAGTTCATAATAAAAGAGAAAAAAAAAAAAAAAAAAAAGAAAAAAAAAAAAGGGAGCACTTTTGGCAATATTAAAAAAAAAAAAAAAAAAAAAAAGGCACTTGTGGCAATTTTGACATTCAAGGTCATTTTTCGTTCACCTACAACTTCTATTATCGAATAATATTAATAATCCAAAAAAATTAAAAAGTCAATTGTACCACAAAAAGTCCACATTTGAAAATAGGTTCCAGTAGCTTCTTTTTCATTGTCATTTTCATATTTTGCATGCAAAGCAATTATTTAGTGTATTATAATAAGCTAGACAGTTACCCCCATCTATGAGCTGCCTATGTTTCAACTCTTTTGTTGAAAAACGAAAAGCTAGCATGTACATCTTCAGCTTAATTTATTGTTTGTTTATACTATCTATATTAGTAATTTAGGCTTTTTTTTAAAATATTTTTCAAATATTTCATTTATAATATTTTCCATTGTTGGTTTGTAATATTGAAATTTCATATTTTAAAATTTTATTATAAAATATAAGAAAAAAATATAAAATTATTAAATTATATTAGTTGCCCATTAGACAATGGCTAATCACCAATATTAGTTAGTAGTGAACGATAACGATGGGTACTAGTAAGCAAAGGATGAATGAATATGTATTTATAAAATTATAATAAGTTTCTCGTATTTAAAAAATATTTTTCTTTCTTAAAAATAAAGTGTTGATATTTTTGTTATTCTTTTCACAATTTATATTAAAAAAAAAAAAAGAAAACAAAAGGGTTTTTGAGGGTAGAATCAAATTCACATCATTCTGTTGATAAAGAAACTTTTGGAGGAACTAATTTATTCTAATAGTACCTTCAAAAAAGTGGTAATAAATTAAATCTTGCACTATGAAATTCTGCTTTTGAACATCTTGACACAAGTAAAGGGACAAAGCAAAACTCATTATTAAAATTAAGCAAATCTTCTTAATACTATTATTAAGAAGATTCATATCAATAGTTAATTATTAATTTATTATTTAAAGCTTTGTAGTTTTGTTATCTGCCTCCTCAAATTGTTATGCTTATTGTCACTTTCTTTCCTCCTGCTCCCCATTACCCCTTTAATTGAACTTTTATAATTTCTTTGGCCTTGATTTTTGTTTCATTAATACAAAACTAATTGGCTTTTGAGTAAATTAACTAGGATATTCTTTACACTTTTTTTTTTTCATTATGAACTATGAATTATTATTTTTTAAATGGTATATACCTATTATGTTTGTATATATATATATATAGGAGAAAGTGGGAGAATCTTTCAAATCATGCTTGTGAAAGATGGATTAAAGTAATGGTGGCAAGGAATAGATTGGGACAACCCCACATACATAAAAACTTCCAAAAATTTAAAAGCAAGACCTAATAAAGAAAGACTAGGTTAAATCAATATTGGATAATTGATGAGAGAGAAGCAATTCTACACCGTTCATGAATATATCAACCACTAATTATCATGGTCCTAATTATATTTGATAGAAATAAAAAATGGATGAGAAGATAAATAGAACGTATTGATATAATTTTTTTCTCTCTCTTTTAATAGCATAAAAGCATGTATTTATCAGATAGATAAAGTAATTATTGTCCCATTCCAAATGAGAGACAAAATTATTAAATACCGAATAAGTATCTTTTCTTTGATGGAACATGATAGATTCTTTATTGATTTGTAACATTTGGTATAATTGTCTATGTTTAATATCTTTGATTTATTTATTAGTCTATCAATATCTATTCTGATTGTCCCCTTTAGCTTACTGATTAATTCTTAATCTAAGCCTAACAAGTAATAATATATATGTAAGTTTAGTGAGAGTATTGTCTTAATAATTTCTGATCATAATTAGCTGAACTTTTTAAATACCCTATGTTGTTCTTCGACTCTAGACAATTTAGTCAAATGTGAGTTGGCAGTTTGATTTGCATTTGAAAAAGTAAATATATTCTTGTGATAATGAAATTAAAATCAACTTTACCGTTTGAAAAAAAAAAAAAATAATAGGTAAGAGTAGCTCAAATGATTATACAGGCTTGATTTCAATTACAATTTCCGCAGAATTAAGAATTTCATATATGAAAAAAATACTTACAGAAAAAAATAATTACGAATTTCGAAATAATATTAATTTCGTTTACAATGAATTTCGAAATGAGATTACAAATTAGTATAATACCAGAAATCAAAAAATTAAACTATTTACATAAAAAATGTTAAATTTTATTATCAATTCATAAGGAATCTCACTTTACTATTAGGTTAACAAAATTAATTCATAAGGAATCTGAATTGTGCTATTAGGTCAATAATGGATCATAAAGTTTCATACTTGGACAAAAAAAAAAAAAAAAATTTCATTAACTTGCAAAAAAAAAAAAAAATATTGAAGACATGATAGGCACAATGAGATTTGAGACAAGAACATTAGGGTTAAAAAAAAAAAAAAAAATATTGAAGACATGATAGCACAATGAGATTTGAGACAAGAACATTAGGGTTTTGTTTTAATACAGATGAATTGACAATGAAATGTAACAAGTAGTATGGTATAACTAACTTTTTAATGAAAATCAAACTTTAATGTTCTAATAACACCCAGCCAAGTGCACTAACTAGAGCACCATCATAAAAAGTACTTTCACAAAAGTGTAATACTGTTTATACAAATAATTGATTAGAAACAAATTAAAACTAACAAATAATTGTTAAGTTGATGTATGAGAAAGAAAGAAAGAAAGAGAGTTTGTAATCTTTAGATTTGTCACCTTATTGCAAACTTTCTTTTTCACTTGTTTCAAGACAATCTATTTCCAGACACATCTTTATATCTACCCTTTCACAGACTTTCTTTTTTAGAGGGAGATAAGAAAGGAACTTCAAAAAAAGAGCTATGGAGGAGAGAGAAAAATTAAAAGTGAAGACCATATTACAAAAGTGGAAGCATACATGGCACCATAAGCAAAGCAAATTACCAGAGAGGTACAGTACAATTCCTGATATGTCCACAAATTTTCTATCATTTACCACCTGCATATTGAAACAAAGCACAAAATATAATATTTAGTTCTAAATAGAAGAGAAAAGAATGTCATTGAGCAATTCTTATTAAAAAAGTTTAAACTCTATTTTACAAAAATTTTTTAAAAAAGAAAAAGAGGAAAGGGGGTTTTGACATTGAGAGAATTAAAAGAAGCAAAAAGAGATCATAGGAATGGGCTCTTACCTTTTTCTTTTTCACACACTTTTCTTAAGAAAGAAAGGAATACAATGAGCAATGCAACCCCAGCAATAAGTCCAATTAATATTGCAAGTGTCTTCTCTATCTCTTCATCATTATTATTGTCATCTACACCAAAACAAGATTTAAAAAAAAAAAAAAAAGCAATTAGATGGCATGAGATTAAAATATCATAGCAGAATTAACAATCATAAGTTAATAATTATCTACATGGAGCATCCTTTTTAGGGTCATGGGTGCATTTTACTTGCTAGATAGAACTTGGTTTACATGTGAATTAGAAAGAATGCAAATGATTACATCTAGTAATTAGGTTTTCAATAAGCTAATCAAGCAAAGTTAAGCTAGCTATAAGAACATTGCATTTCCAACTAATTGGGACATTGTAGTAATTTTAACATCATTTGAGTAATGATGTTATCATTTTTAATTGTTTAGATTCAAACACTTGGAACAATCAAATCATGACTTATGGCCATTATTACTTCACATTTGCATTGGATTCTAACTATGATTCCTAATTAATTAGCCACATTAATCCACAATGTGGGCCCTTAATTACTTATATTATCACACAAATTCTCTATAGTTAGCACTTTTTTTGCGTGCTTAAGGATAAGAAGGTGCAAAAAATTTGTCAACATATATATCTCATCACATTCAACTTAATTGAACATGAGACCCTTAAACTCAATAGAATTTCACAGATCAAGTGTTTAAATTCAAACCCATAATTAACTTTTAATTAACAGCTACATTATGTGATAAAAACCCAAATTGTTAAAGCATTTAATTAATCAAAATTAATAACCCACATAACCTTCAACAAAACCATGCCAGATCAAGTACTTGCAAATCAAATTCACCTTCCACATGTAAGCCTTAATTAATGAAGTAGAACACAGCAGGAGGGTGTTTAATACAAACAAACACTCACTTTCAATATCCCACTCTCTAATATTAATACACACAGCATTAAGAGAAAAAAGGAAATTTAGAAAAGAGAAGGGGCTTCTTGAATAATTTGAACTCACCCAAATCTCCATGTAAATTATAAAACAGGCACACAGATTATTTACATTTTAAGGTAAAATTCAGAATTATTCAAGAATGGCCCCTAGTACTAAATTCCCACTAATTGAAACCAAAGCATACTTAACCAAAAACCAGAAATCTGAAACCACCACCCAAGGCGGCGAAACCGCTTACCGTTTCCACCGTGAGAGTGAGCTCCACGCATCGAGAAACGGACGTAGCATTTCGCCAAAAACATGTCCCCAGAAGCGGCGGCGGGGTCGCACTCAGTTTTTAGCCGTTCGACGGCGTCCGATAAGCAATCCTGGCACTCGCTCGCACTCAAATCCTGTACACACTGCGCCACACCGTAAATGTCACCGGACCCACCAACTCTGTAAGGCTTGTAGGACCCATCACTGGCTCCTAAGAAGCCCAATACAGCATCACGTCTGGTCAACGCATCAGATGCATACCCGATCGACGGACCACATTTCTTCAACACCAGAGTCTTGTCCTCTACGCCTAAAAAGCTCATATTATCATACTTAACGAAGCACCCATCGAGTTGTAAAGCGCCACCGCACGAGTCAAGACAGAGAGTTCCGAGTTGACTCACGGCGGTTTGAACACAGCGAGCACAGTCGCCATTGGAGAGGTCTCCGCGGCATTGAAAAAGGCCGTAGATAGTGTCTTGCGAAGAAGAAGGACTTTGAACGGTGAAATTGTTGTAGTTGGTGAAAGTGGCTGAGTTAACAAGGGAAGTGAGTAGCGAGTTGACGTTTGACTCGTAAGGAGAGCCTGAGATGTACTTTGGCTGTGAACATCCACCGAAAATGAAAGACTCGGTAGAGGAAGACGATGAAGTTGTAAGAAGGGAGATTGATAGAAGGGAAATAAGAATTGTTATTGTTACAGACATGTTAATTTCCTGAAAGAAAGATTGAAGAGTTTTGATGTTGCAAATGATCACCGTACTCTTTTTGTGAGTATCTAAGTGAGAGAGAGTTCCCGCAGAGAAGGTGCGTGGTTGTTGCTTTGAGGAGAATTTACGTAACAATAGGGGAGGTGTTACTTGACCTTCGCATATATTATTGTTGCTTTCTGTTTTCTTGAGAATTTTTTTTTTTTTTTTTCTCTCTTTTCAGGTCAAGTATAATTGCCACTCAGAATATTTATTTTATTTTATTATAGAAATATAACAAAAATTCACAATGCCACAGCTAAACCACTTTAACTTATAAACACCCGAAGATAGTTTGGTTTCTACTAATTAAATCTCAGTCATCGATCGAGTTGCAGAATCATCATCACCAAACAGCTAACATCTAAACGTCTACTAAATCAGCTAATTTTGTGAACACACCGTCCGTGTTTGGGAACCGGTTATAGTTGACTTGAGGAACATAAAAAATGGTCCTATACGTCTAATTTTTTATGGAAATCAAATCACTTGCATAAAAGTCACTAATTTGATCCATCTTGTATCACTTCAGTTCTCTTCAACCTCACCTATCACTTTGTAATTGGATTACTAGAGCTCAAATCTGGTTTTGCTCCAGATTAAATTAAAACTTACTAGGGCTTAAGTAATTTTTTTAAAATACAAAGTTTAATCCAGATGAGGGAAAATGTTGAAACTTCAACTTGGAATTTCATTTATAAATTATACAAACAAATTGAAGGGAGAAGGTGAAGTTTCTATTTATAGCCATTGACAATGACAAAGACAGAAAAATATGTAAAAAAACCTCTCCTTTTCTCTCTGTAACAACCATGTCATCGCACCCGCCAAAGCAAAACGACAGTAACTATTTACAGAGGTCATTTTAGCCAATTCGAGAACTCGTTGCAAATTGCAACGACTAGATGTTTTACATCTCTACTATTTTGATGCATATTATCTAAATATATATTCAAAAAAACTATACATTTACAAAACAAGTAGTCATGAATTCAATTCGATCCATTATATATAAAGAAAATTCACTTGAAAGAGATCCCAACTTCAACGTTTAAGGAGTAGGTCGATGAGATTAGTCTTCAAGGCAAAGGGATACTCTTTTTTTTTTTTTTTTTGAAAGAGTAAAACTCACAGCCTTTCATTCATTATCATAAATCTCGAACAAACAATGAGGAATATAATTCCAGATACGTAGATGCTCAAAGTGAATAGAAGCTCGAGCTAGGGTATGCGCCTTTAAGTTCGCTAGGCAAGGGATACTCTTAGTACACGAAAAAAGAATAAATGAATATATTATAAAATATTGGGGCAAAGAACATTTTCTTCCTTTAAAAAAAAAACATTTTCTTACCTAAATTAGATGCATAGATTGAGGCTTTTTTTTTTATTTTCCTTTTCAAAAATAAGTATTAGATGAGGGCTCAATTACTTCAGTATCAATTGAAACTTGAAAGTGAAAGAAGTTTGTCATTGCTAATATGCCATTTTAATAGTTACAAAATCAAATCCTAATCACCTGAAAATAGTTAAGAGGGTTTTAAATATCTAATTATTGGATATAAAAAAAGGATTATCATCCTCAATGAAATGGACTAAGACAATTAGACAAGGTGGCCGGCCGTCCTCAATTTAGGCATGTCTTCTATAGATAGATAGCCATTGTCGTCTTTACAAAGCAAAGAAAAGGTTTGTTGGTTACAACTGTAAAAAAGACATCCTTTTATTCATATACACAGAAGGCAAGATTTAGTGCCCCCTTTTTTTTTTTTCGTTTTCTATTTGTTTGACATGTTTTCAATCTCAAACCCAACAAGATCTTATCGATATCTGAGCCTTTTTTTTTCATTTCTTTTAACGTTTACCCACCTAATTGTTGACATCAAATCTGATTAGTGAGAGATGACTTTAATTAATTAATTTTAGTTGTTAATTAATTGTTGGATCTTGTTTTGAAATAATGCTGATGCGATTAACCTTTAAAATTGTACCTCAATCGGAACATAAATTACCAAGATTTTAGCTATTGGCCTTGAGCCTCACTCTTTATGGTACATTGATGCAACATATGAAAGTGCGAGGAAAACAACCCTTGTATGACAAGGGAATGCATGGTCCAATTTCAGGATTGGTGCCTTGTAAATTACGAGTCAGTTAAGAACCAATTCAAGATTTTCAAGATTCAATTTTCATATAATTATTAATTTACTACATTATGCTGAAAATCTATAATCTGGGAATCTTAATATGACTGTATCAAAATTTATTGATATTATGATTATAATTTTTTATTTTTTATACAATCAAATAGTCATTGAATGATTAGGCTATTAACGAAAAGATACATGTCATTATTAGATTTATTTTATGACTGAATAATCTTTTCTATTTTATATCAAATATTCTAATTTCAAATGGCATAGAAAATTCTTTTGTCAGTCAATGATCATACATGTTGGAGACTTGCTAAAATTTGACTCGAGACTTTGAAAGGAAGAATACCCCATGAGACTGAAAATGAAACTGGTGATATCCCCTTTTCCCGTTCTTGAAGACCACGGAAACTGTATGTGGTGGAGGAGCAAGAAATGGGAATAAATATAGAAAAAGAAAAGGAGATCAATCAAGAAAGAAAACGTAGAATGAGGGGAATAAGAAGAGAAGGTCACATTCAATAATTAAAATGGAACTATTTTTTTATACAATATATATAAAAAATAAAAATAAAAGAAACGAGTATTTGTCTATGCCAAAAGGAAGGCCACTTTAGGTTCTGTGTTTTGGCTTAACCTCCGACCAAATGGTTGTCATTTTTCAGTTGAGATAAGGTTTCTTATAGCTCCATATGCTTTGCAATTTTAAGCTATGGTTAGCTTGGTTTTTTGTTGGTTGCTAGATCGTGCAATGTCCGGTCTTCATAGCTGGCCAATCTTCTTCTTGCCAGTTCTTGGTTTTGTCTATTTTACATCATTTTCTCTCTGTTTTTTCTTCTTGTTTCTTCTTGTTTTATCTCATCCATGTCTTCGTACAACCGAATTTTGAATGGAAAATTGTGCTGAACCAATGTAAATTGATCAATTTTTCCAGTTTAATTCAACTTCATATTTCCTCATTTTTGTCTCATGTAATCTAATAGAAATTATTAATTTTATTTAATAATTTCAATTTATAAAAATATATAATTTTAATTTTTTTTCTCAAATATTTATAATTTGTAAGAAATAACATACCCAAGTGTCATGGAATTAGCAGCTAGGGTTTAATACAAAGTAATGATTGAAAGGAATAATAATCCAACTCCAAGCTTAGGATGAGAAGTCACCTTCCAATTTCCTCTCAATCCATCACCAACTTGTCAGCTCAAAATTTGACATTTAATCAAGAAATGGCAATTACTATAATTGCCAGTACCAACCCAACTTGCTTTTTAGTAATTTTTTTTAACAACCTTAATCATCACTAATCGGGAAAATTTCAGAAATTGTGAGACAGCAACTAATTACGAAGTTGCATGTAGCTTCATGTAAAGTGATCGAATTCGAATACTTCCTATTGTCTGCGTCGTTACTATTAAATTAAGCTTTAATTACAGGCAGAAAGTTGTTTTGGTTTGTTAGAATATTCTTAAATATATTTGGAATATCTAAAAGGTAATTAAAATATTCCAATGCAATGATCACTCGTCTAAAGTTACCTACCACTAATTACTTCAAATTACTAATAAAAATACAACTCCAAGGAAGAGAATGTTTCGAACCTTGCTGAGATTTTTGAATTTGGGCCCAGGTCGGCCTGGTTAGAGTGGACATGGGCCGACTCAAGTTAGTACTCACTAAAAAAGAGACTGGAATTATGGATTGACCCAGCCCAATTATTTATAAAAAAAAAAAAAAAAAAAAAAAAGAGACTGGAATTATTGGATTGACCCAGCCCATTTATAAAAAAAAAAAAAAAAAAAAAGTAGCGTTTCTTCTTATTTTACTATGCTCATTAGAGATTGTGAAGCTCCTCTTCTTCATTTCATTTTTTTTTTTTAATTTAGGAAGCAACAAATCAAGTTGCTCTTCTTCCTTAGCTTTAAATATTAATAATGTGAGCTGAGTTACTTATTGATTTGAAAAAAATAAAGAACAAAAAGTACTGTCTGAATAAAGTATTGTATTTAGAAAGTAAATATTAAATTTGTTACTTCGACTTGATCGCAATATATAGTTTATATAAAAAATTGAGTTTTTAAATTAATTTTAATGGAAGCTTTTAAATAGAAGACCAATAGTCTCATTTATAAATTTATTAAATAATTTATGTATATATTATACATTGCAAACAAGTTGAGAGCTTAAGTTAAGAATTATTCATTATTCCTTGTGGTTATGATGACAAAAATTTTCATTTCTACAAAGAAAATGAATTATAATAATGACTAATAAGCAAAATCTTGAGAAGCACATCACGCGGAAAATCGTTTATTGGATCTGTAATAATCTTGATAAAAGCATCAGAACATGGGCAATTGGACATGTGACAAAAAAAAAAAAAAAAAATCAGGCAAATTTGGACAATGTGAACAAAAAAAAAAAAAAAAAAATCATAAATTGAAAGAATCAAAGGATAATAAAAAAAAAAAAAAAAAAAATCATAATTGAAGAATCAAAGGTAGCATATAATGGGCCCAATAACAGAGAATTGAAAGGCATCCAAGATGTAATTTTCCTAAAATAGCCCAAAAGAAGATTGAGCATGAACATGTGATGCTTGCTCTAAAAAGCTCTATTAGATATGAAAATGAAACCAAAGGAAGAAAGGAAATGTGGCATTTGCTAGTTTGGAAAACTAGACATGAAAAGAGGATACTCATGCTTTGTTGTTTGGTTCCAAAGGGTTTGATAGAGAAAGGGCAGGAAAGCTTTACCTTCAAACACATGCAATGCACAATTGCTTTTTGTGAATGACATGTGATAGCTTTCTTGACAGAAATTTGACCTATTTTTGCTAATTTATCCCTATGAAACTATTACATCTATTTCATAATATTTGTCACGTTTGAGAAAATAACTTGTTTCAAAATACTTGTCGCATTTGTGGTCTCAAGGAGTAATAAATATTTTTTTCTGTGTTTACCTTTTATA